TCTATAGCTAGCCTATACGTGCACCTTAAAAAGACTAGCTATAATATTGTTAATTTTCGCATTTTCTATATTATAATTGCGCGATGTACAAGTTTAGCCATTTATCTAGGTCCCGTACGATATATATGCTATACAAAAGTGCGCTAGATTACGACCTATAGAGCCTCTAAATTCTATGTTCGTTATATAGGCTCTATAGAGCTACCCGCTCTTAGCGGTTTGCCGTTAGGCGCTTCGCTAGAATGAGATCTCGAGTGCCGCTAAACCTAATCTAGTATAGTATAAATATAGAAGGCACGTAAGATCATTCTAGTATACGAAGCGCCTAAGGGGAGGTAGTCTTACTCTCGAATAGGACAGAATATAGAGAAAGGGTTTTATAAGTCCGAATAATAAAGGACCTTTAGGTACTTCGCCGGTAGACGAAGAATAAGGACATATAGACGCCTACCTTTATACTAACACTTGTAGACGGATTAGGGAAGGAATATAAGTTAGCGGACGATAAGGCCGACCTACTATAATCTGTCTTCTTCCTAGAATCCCTACCGGCGGACGAAACCGACATCGACAATGCTAAATATAGACTACCGGTAGTTATACCGCCGATTATAGAGTATAAAGTAAAGGAGGCTATCCGAAGCACTAGCCTAGACAAAGTACTAGGCCTAGACGATATCCCGAATAGGGTAATAAGGATCGCGATAGACCTACTAGCGCTAATACTCGCTATAACGTACAATCTAGCCCTCGACCTATAGTACTACCTAGCCTCTTTTAAGGAATTAATAACGATAGTACTTCGAAAGCTAGGGAAATCTATATACCGCGAACCTAAATCGTACCGACTAATCGCGCTACTTAATACGATCGGTAAGATAATAGATATAGTCCTTACTAGGCGAATATCGTACGTAGTAGAATACTACGGCCTTCTACTAGATACCTACTACGGAGGGAGAAAAGCGAGTTCTATAGAGCACGCCCTCTACCTAGTAATAGAAACGATCTACGCTAGTTAGAACTAGAATAAGATCGTTAGCGCCCTCTTTCTCGACGTCTCTAGGGCCTTCGATAATATAAGCTATCGGCGGCTACTATACAACCTTTAAAAGCGGCGTCTACCGGCAGAGATAGTAGGGTAGCTCCGAAGCTACCTAGTCGATAGAAAAACGACCCTCCGGATAGCTAAAGGGAGCTCTAAGTAGTATAGCGTAGGAACGGGAATACCGTAAGGATCCCTACTATCTCCGATACTATACCTATTCTATAACGCAGACCTAGTCGACATTAAAGGAGCGGACCTAAATACCGGGTATATCGACGACGTCTTAATAGTAGTCTCTAGGTACTTAGCAGCCGGCAACTGCGAGAGACTAGTAGAGATTTATACGAAAGCTAAATAATAGGCGACGAAACACGCTTCGGTCTTCGCCTTAAAGAAGTACGAGATTATTTACTTCTATCTACCGGACTAGAGGCGATTAGCGGCCTTTAAGAGAATAGTAGAAGAAGAACAATACCCCCCCCTTTAGCTTACGCTAGTCTCGGGAGAGCAATATACTGTCTAGGCAAGCCGATATACTAGATACCTCGGGGTATAGCTCGATAGCGAGCTTAGAGGTCTATAATACCTTAAGAAAACGCTAGGAGCGGCTACCGCTACGGTAGGAGCCCTAGGATTAATCGCCGGCTCGATATAAGGGATTACACTCGAGCAGATAAGGACGCTCTACCGTATCGTCGTCTAGCCGAAGATACTATATACCGCATTAGTCTAGTTCCTAGTAGCGCTAGTATATAGCGAGAAGACGGTTTAAGCAAAGATAATAGCGAAGATTAACTCTTTATAGAAAAGGGCACTTTGCCTTATTACTAGAGTACTATAGACGATAGCGAGGGAGATCCTCGAAGTAGAAGCGGGAGTTAAGCCGATAATAACTATACTCGTAAGGAGGGTTAGCGACACGCTCGTTAGAATATACGCCTCTCTAATATAGCAAAAGATAAGGGAGGTATAGGACGAGATACCGATAAGGGTACAATACGAGAGCCCTCTACGAAGATACCGAGATATAGCTAATAGACAGCTCGGCTAATTTAGCTACGGAGTATCTAATATAGAACTAATACGGCCGGTAATCGTAGCACTATAGTAGGAGCCCCTAGCAGTATATATTGCCGCCGACAAAGACGCTACGGTTAAAGTATACGATAATATAGTTAAGGAAAGAGAGCTAGGCCGGCTTATTTTCTATACCGACGGGAGCGCGATCGACGGCTATATTAGTATAGCGGCAGCGCTCCCCTCCTATAAGTAGACCGCTAGCCGCTATATAGGACCGTTTACCGAAAGTAACGTCTACGTCGCCGAGCTCTACGGGATAAGGATAGCGCTATAGAAAGCCCTCGAGCTTAGTAGCCGCCCTTAGAGTCTATAGAGCCCGGTATCGAAGATAGTTGTTTTCGGTAACTCTTAAGGAGCACTACTGTCTTATAGGCGACCTCTAGGCTAGTCTAGCTAGTAGATACTCTAAGATATAGTATAGCTAGTCGAGAACCTTAATCGCCGGTTTATTCCTATTAAGCTACGGTAGATAGTAGGACATCTAGGGGTGCCCGGCAACGAATAGGTAGACCGACTTGCTAAATACGCTACCGGTTAGCGCCCGGCCGTCTTAGGAGGGCAGAAAGTTAGAGGCCCGCAGGCACAGCCTATTCGGGTGCGGTATATACTCCGCTTAGTATACCGACGACACTTTAAGTTCTATATAAAGGAAAGCTAGGCTATAGAGTACCTTTATAGCAATACTAGAAGAAGGTACAAAGACATATACGAAACCGACGCCCTAGAGTATGTAAAACTACTCCGGAAACTATACGGCACTAAGACAATGTCTAAGGGCGTCTTATCGTTAATCTGCTAGATAAGAATAGGCCGCATCGGCTTAAACGCCTATCTAAAAATAATTCAGGTTAGGGCAGATAACGCCTATCGTTTATACGACGACAGCCCGGAGACACTTAAGCACGTCCTCTACAAATGCCTATTAATCTAGCTACTACGGAAGGAGATACTAGGGGAGGCGGTAATATACTTATTTATAACTCTACTCTTCGAATTTCTTATAACACCGAAGCTAGCAATTCAGGCCGTATACTTTATATACCGTATAGGGCTCCTCGCGCAATTTACCGGGGCTAAGATATAGTTTATTACACCTCCCGAGGAGGAGGAATAGCTATAAAACATAGCGTAGATTAATTATAAAGCCGCGGGCTAGGTAAGGTTAAAACATAGCAGAAACGACATAGAACTAGACAACTATACTACGAACCGCTCCCTTATTTACGACAACGATTGAGCCCTAAGACCTCTATACTATCCTAAAAACACTATAGGAGATAATACGCCGAAAGACGTTTCCGCTACTAGACAGATCTCCGCCTACTACTAAGAGGGCACGGACCTCGACGCCGGGAAGCTAGCAACATTGTATATAGACACTGTACTAAAAAGTTCTTAACGGATTCTATATCGCGTCGAGAAGTGCTATAGAACGGGCATCGTTTTGTAGGGGTTAGTATAGTAAACATACGAGTTTATCTATATCGGGAGGAGGCTAGGAAGGCTTAGCGGATAGGATATAAAAGGAGGCGGCAAGCCTACCTGTCTTAAGACCTTATACCCTATCTAGCACTACCGAACGACCGAGTAGACACTATTAAGAGCGCCCGCTAATATATCTATTCTACAATTAGCACTCCTCGAACTATAGCTACCGTAGTAGGCTAAGGGTATCTATATCTAAGGGCGATACTTCCTAACCGCCCTTATCTTTAAGCTAGAATCTACCTATAAAGACATCTAGCGGGCGTACTATAGGGAGAGCGCCGAGCACCTTACGGTAACGTCGGTTCTCGAGAGGTTCCTCGCGCGTATCTAGGAAGAGGCGGAGAGGAGGTATAGAAAGGAAAGTATCTATACACACCTACGTAACCTTAGCTTTACTATAGGAAAGTAGAAGGGATAGTATAAAGGAGACGAAGACCCGTTAGAATCTAACTAGATAACGACATTTAGGGACTTTATAAAAGCAAAAATAAAGAGACCGAATAGTAGTATGCTAATAGTAAGGATAGCCCTCTTTACGAGTGCTACTATAAACCTACTAGGTAGGCGGGAGGCGTACGATTAAGACGAATAGTACGTATAGGCCTACGCGATAGTATAGCTACTAGGCAAGCAAGGCTACTATTTAATAATCTACGACTATAACGCTAGTAACGGACCGATTAGACTAAAGCCGGCAGAGACCTTCCTATTATGTGTATAATAGGTATTCCTTAAGGCCCTAAAGGAGAAACGCAAAGTGCGCGCCGTATACTTCGGAGACGCATACGATAACGGTAAACTAGCATACAATATCTAGCGCAAGTCCGGGACTTTCTACGTAGGCAAGTGCCTAACGGATACGCTATTCTAGATACATAGGATGGCCTACGTAAAAGACACGCCCTAGGGAGACCTTAAGGACCCGAGATAGTTTAGCTTCTAGAAAATCGAAGGTATAGGCGGATACCTTCGAAAGACTAGGAAGTAATATAGACAATAGGCGAAAGGGTAGAGAGCGAGGGACTTAACGTTTATTTACTTACATAATCTTATTAGTTCTAGTTAGCTAGGCGTTACGGGCTAGTATAAAGGAGTGAAAAACAATAAAAACATAGTCTATATTTAGCGTTAGAATAGTATTCACTTTAGGAGCGGTAGAATTAATGCATAGTTAGTCCGCAGATAGTTAGAGCCTAGCATAGCGTCCGCAGTAGACAGCTAGCGGCCTAGAGCCGCACTCGGAGTAGCCGAGGAACGGGCTAAAAATGGAATTAATAATAAAAAAGTCGAATCTTCAAAGGGATAACGATCGAGGCAGCCGCATTCTTCGCTTGGCCTTCACATGCTCGAGTGGCTTTGCAGTATCTGAAAAGTGGCAAACATAAAATACACCTCAAGTTGTCGCAGAATAAACTATGTTCAGGCTTTGTTCGATACACATGACCTGGCGATGAGCTCACTCGGGGGATTCAAAATCAGTAGGCTACTCGCCAGGAATGATGGCCGTAAATACCCCCTCCCGAAACATAGTAAAGCAATGTCTATCGTTGGAAGACGTGCTATCCAAAGCTACCTCTCGAGGTAGCGTGAATCAAGGCATAGCGTGAATCAACCCAAATTTGCATTTCGACCACAGTCCAAAAGATAGCCTCAATCGCCTGCTTCCGTGACCAAGACTTGCCATCTTCGCTTCTGCTCGATATGTCTTCAAAAGCTCCGCTTAGTCTTCGGTTTGCTTCACTCTCATCGATAATTCTGTCCATCGGCTCCACTCCGCTCCACTGCACTTCTTCAAACTCTTTCTTCGGCAATCTCAAATGAAAGTCGTTGGTTACGCCCTCTTCGTTTATGCCGACTTTGAGCACCAGCGCCGGCATATAGAAAACAAGTCTCCGTAACCATAACGCCTCATCTTCCTTCAGATTCCCAAACCATTTTACCCACGCGCTACCTCCATCGTGGTGCGTCAGGACTTCACGCGATCCTGCTTTCTGAAAGATTCCAGCTGAGCCGTGATGTATGAGGAAGATAGCCGATTGGATTGAGAGTCGCTTCCACTCGAGAGAAATCTGAGCATGGACCTTGGTCAAGGGATGATCGTGAAGAGAACGCAGCTCAGATATGGAAGGTATTTTGGCAATGTCGACGTAGCCATGCGCGATAAAATAAGAGTAGATCTTGTTGCGGATCTCGCCAGGAAGATCGAGAAAGGAGGTCGGTCTCTGTGAGGCCACATCTGCTTCCGACATATCTTTTGACTAGTCACGATTCACTTGTCGAGACTGAGGGCCATCATTCGTAGAGCTACAACTGTCCAAGAGAAATACTGCTCTCGAAGCACATGCAGTCGGATCTAGGCGTGAGAATTAGGTATGAGGGGTTTCCTGCGTGCTGGAATGCTCATCGGATGTCGATAGTTTCCAGGAACTGTTTGCTCTTGAGCTGAGCAAGGAACTTGCGATCCGAGTATATTCATCAATGTTAATGAGTGTATGTTGATGTTGGGAAGGCTCTTAGATGCAGTGGACGGGAGCCTGTTGAGTTTTATGTTCAAGCTAGTCTAGTCTACATAGCGGCAAGCTCGGATGGAGGACGGGTAAGGCAGGAATAAGGCACCAACCGAGACTGCCAACATTGTCTCCAGACTACACCGCCTCCAAAACCATGTCGTCCTGTGTAGATGCCACGACTTGTATTAGTAGCATATTCTGAAGCCCTCTTCAAGCAAAGACGCCGAACTCTTCACAAACAGCCGCTTCGCATCCAACGAGAAGTATCAAATCGGACAGCTTAAAGGAAGTAGCGGAAGGAGTCCACCCCTACTCCAGCAAACCAGCGGGAATGAGATCATCCAGACACAGCTGATAAGTCCTCGGACCATCCTCCTCCTCCTCCTCATCCTCCTCATCCCACCCAATTCCCTCAATACCCCAGCAAACCAGCGGGAATGAGATCATCCAGACACAGCTGATAAGTCCTCGGACCATCCTCCTCCTCCTCCTCATCCTCGTCATCCCACCCAATTCCCTCAATACCCTGCCTTTCCATCTGCTCAAGTTGGCGATCTGTCTCTTCCTCAGCCTCAAACTCGGCTTGAACCATCGCCGTGATACTACCTTCCCCGTTATCGACGAGCTCCATGTAACGCTCGTGTGTCTTCGCGGCTGCACAGTTCTTAAGTTGCTCTAGGTGTGACAGAGCAACGCAGGCAATCCGCCGAGTATCGCCGGACATCAAACTTCGATTACAGCGAGAGCTGACGTCGTTTCCGCTTTCTGGTCCCCAATTGTCCACGAGCGTCCTTTGAGCCTTCGGTAGATACCTGAAATGTGGTTCTGCGGGCTCATCCTCTACTTCTTCACCAGTGGCGGGTTTGTCAGGGTTCCTGGATTGCTCCTCACAAGTGGTGGACAGTCCCTGAGCGTGGCTCCGCTTTCCAGCCCTCTGGTGGTGTGCACGCTTCCTGTTAGGGCGTCTAAGTTCTTTGAACATCCACAGCCTCTCGGCCGGACGTGCGTCCTTGTTGAGCAAGATGGTCGGTCTTTTGGCTTCGTACCGTGCTTCCCTGTAAGCTTTCTTGTCCCTTTCGGCCTGCATGGCCTCCTTTTCGGCCTGAATGAACTTCAGCGCTTCTGCTCTCGCAGCTTTCAGCGCCTCTTTGTTGGCGACATTTCGCGCATGAAGTGATTCCAAACTTTCTGGCAGGGCTGCTGGCTCAGACTCGGGGATGCCGCCTTTGACATGTATGATTTCTGAGAGGCAGACCTCGTAAGCCTCTTGGATTTTCTGAAAAACTTGCGTATGCTGCTCCCTAAGCTCCTCGTCTTGTGCTTTATCTGGATGCAGAAGGAGAGCCAGAGACCTGTAAGTGTCGCGAATTTCTGCTTTTGTGATGGAGCGGCTTCGGATGCCAAGGACTTCCCAGGCTGTTTCAGCGTTGTCAATCTGCTCATATAGAGCAGTCATTGCATCAGCCATATTTTCAATGCCGCTTCTGATTAGAGCCGCGGCTGCTTGGATTGTGTTAAGAGCTCGTTGATGGTTGTTTGGTGGTTGAGTTGGTTGCAGGCAGAAGCCGAAAGCTTCTGTTATCGTGCGACGAGAGTCTTCTCTTGGAGTTTGTAGTTGGTGACGTTGGATACTGAGTGGATGAAGAAGGCAAGGGAGAGGAGATGAGCTGTGAAAGATATACTTGCTTCAGTACCAAACTGAGGACATGCCTGAGGACATGCCTGAGGACACGCCTGAGGACACGCCAAGGCGACCACCAAAAGTCCTCACTACTCAGCACGTAATCCATGTGACACTCTCTCATTTGGTAGAATTAGGTTGTGCGTTGAACAGCATGCACATGATCGATGCTCTTGACAGGCTTCTTGATTAGTACTGGTGAACACACACCTGCTCACTGGGTTCGTGTGAGCAAGGAGCCACAGCGAGGCGTCGTAAAATGCAGCACATAACAAATTGGTGGTAATATGCTCAGCGATTACTGACCTGTCCGATGTCAATAGTAGTGTACGGCGCCTGGCGATGCTGTTCGTGACGACTTGAGGCCATGAAAGGAGATGTCTATTCTGACATGCAAAAGGGTCGGGATCCGGGGGTCGGGGTCCACACCACTATTGTTAGCAATTCTAGACAATGCTGTCTATATTATTTCTTCAACCAAACCATACCTCTATGTCGTCGAAAATAGCCAAACTTTAGTGGTATAGCTATAACTAAGGTATTGTTATTGTCTATTATCTCGCTCTTATTAACCGACCGAATACGCTATACCTACCCTTACTATATACGATAACAACCTAATTTAATACTGCCTCGACGATAGCTAGTCCTTCGAGGAGGTATCTAAGCTCTTGCTATCGGACGGCCGAGGGTCTCGTACGGCGATTTACGTACAAATAAAGAGATAGAAGGAGTTAGGTACTATCGTACTAAAGAAGGGTAGTCGACTACGTATAATTACGCTAACTATACGCGATTTAGTAATAGCAATAATGCTAGAACAGCCGTCGTTGTAGTATAAGGAAATATAGTATTACCTACTAAATAAGTACTCGGAATAGATTAGTTATAGCACTATCTAGCGGTTATTAGTAAGCGAGTAGTTTACCTACAAATTGCAGGCGCGTACTACTAAGTAACGAGATCTAGTCGTAAGAGCTATATTCGAGGCCTAAATACAGCGATTTAGTATAGACATATTTATCTATATAGACGAGAGTTATATAAGCAACCGAGTAGCCTATCGAAGGCGTAGATAGGCTCTAATTAGTATGCCGGCGCGCGATGTAAAGCACCTATACTATACTAAGCGCTTCTCGTTATTGCCAGCATATACGTCTCGTAGGTATCTCGAGGACCCTCTTATTAAACAGGGCAGTATAAAGATAGTAGACTTCCTACTATAGTTATAGGTATACGTACTGCCGAAGATAGGTCGGTATCTAGCGCCTTAGTCGGTATTATTAATAGACAACTGCGTAACCTATAGTCGCGAGTATATTACTACCCTTTATCGCGAGGCAGGTATACAAGTACTATTCCTACTGCCGTATTCGCCTAATTATATACCAATCGAGAAGAGCTTCTACTTACTAAAGCACTAGATGCGCCGTAACTGGAAGTTAATACTAAAGTATAGTAATAAAGAGTAGCAAGTTAAGTTTAAGGAGTTCTTAAAGGTTAGTTGCCGAGAATAGTCGAGAGGGGTCGACTATATTGCTATATTTAAGGACTATTATATACTAGAAACACTATACTAGGAGATACACACTATATAATATACCTCTATATAAGATATCTATACTAAATAAATCGTCGTAGTCGGCGCTATATAGCGATATAAAAATCTTATCGTTACGATTGTTATATAGTTAATAACTACTCGCCGTCGCTACTACTACTATATAGACTCTGCCGCTAAGCTATGTCTTTATATCCGTACGGAAAGCCGGCAAGCTCCGAGCTTAGTTTAGCGTTCTACCCGATTCGGTTATACTATTTAGCGCATTCCCTTATACTAACTACTATTAATTAATTTTTTTCCTATCGTAGAAACTAGCTTATTTAGTATATTTTAAAAAAAGAATAACGTTAATCGGATATATAGTTGTTATATTATAAATCCGACTATAGAATTTCCTCGAATTCGTAAAGTCGCTCGACCCTCGAGCTATTACTAAAGGTGCAGCTATCTAGTCTATAAGCCGGCTTCTAGTATGCAAACCTATTACTTAGCAACTATAATAGCTAATTACTCGCTCTTTTTTTTTATAATATACGGACGAGGCTAATTCGAAATATACTGTATATAATTATATAGAGAGAATAGTTCTTTGCAATGTTCTTAGTATATAAAGCTAAAGAGGTTTTGCCGTAGGTATAACCGAGAATTTCGCCGACCCTACGAAGCGGGTCCGAGCGACTTCCGACATTAGTCTATAGTATTACTAATATCGATAGTATAGTCGGAATGCACTACTTTTAAAGGATACTAGTTAATTTATATATCCTATATAGATCTATACTATTTAATTATGCTTCTTATATATAACCCGAATTTTTCTAACAGTTGTAGTTAAATATAGACTAAGCTAAATTGTTAAAGCTAGCTTAACTGCTATATAGCCTATAACTCCTTATCTATCGAGTCGTTAGTCGTAGCATTAGCACTATTATTCTCCTTCGCCGCTTTATTGTCTTCTAATAATATATTGCTATACTCTATAGCATTTACGAATACCTTTATCTCTTCCCTTATCTTCTTCCGTAGTCTAAATAGTAGTACGTCAACCGCTAGGTCTGTATCCTAGTCCTTCTTTATTATTTGTAGTGTCTAGAAGCCCTCCTTAAGGTGCGGCTTAGCTCTAGCAATAGCTACCTTCATTTCCGGATGCCTTTTCGCAAGCTAGTCGCAGTATAGTAGCGTATACTTTAACCTATTTAGAATAGCGGCTTTGCTTTCGATTATCGGTAAAGAGCGTAGATTTGGCGGCAGAGGTAGATTAAGCTAAGCTAGTTAAGGCATTATCTAAGGGAACGAGAAGCTAGGCGGTACGGCGTACGGATTGAATAGTAGCATTAGACTATACTATAGCATTATCGGAGGTGCCTCTTAACTCGACTATTGCTTCTTCTTACTACGCAATCTGTCGGTATAGTTCTTAATAACAGTGCTAACAAGAGAGCCTAGTATATTATCGATTGTAGTAGTGCCTACGGTAATAGACTCGCGCTATTCCTCGAGGTATAAAGCTATAATAAAATAATAGGTCCTATTATGCTATATATAGCAACTAATAACACCTAAGGTCTTATTATTAGCATACTACAAGTTAGGACAATGAAACTTAGCTAGGAGTGTCTTATAGACCTGTCGTAACTCCTTATAAGTAGCGATAGTCTTCTCGTTAGCGTTACGAGTTAACTTAATACCCTTTTCCTTCTATATAGTAGGTAGCTTGTCTTAGTCCGATTTAATAAGGTCCGTATCGTCCGAATCAAGTAATATAGTAGCCTTACTATACTAACTCTCGCTAATAATAATAGTAACTAATCGCTTTGTTATAGTATAATACTATATTATCTTATCGATATATAGAAGGTCCTTAATATTATTAAATTAAATAGGATCGGCTTCCTTCGAAGAGCCGTGTTTTACGGCCTCGATAATAGCCTCTCGATTGATAAAATAGCACTATATTCTATACTTGTCTATATAGTCTCTAGCGCTCTATTTAGCAGTACGAATAAACTTAGCTATTATATCTACGTCGCCTTTATATATAGTAGTCTATATGCCTACCTATTTAGCCTTATTATATATAAAGAGCGTCTTATAACAAATCTTAGCTAATAGCGGTTAAGAGGCCGTAGAAGGTAGAGGGGGTTAAGTATCGGATTGCTTACTAGTAGGTACAGATTTATATACGCGTTTCTCGATAACTACTATACTAATTTTATCCTAGTTACTTAGAGGTCTATTAGGTGCACCTTAAGTATTATTTAGCGCGTCGTTTAGTATATTAGCGGCGTTGCGTAGTTGTTTAGTAGCCGCCGATCGTTTGCGCTTCTACGAAGCCTACGACTCTAACCCCTTCGACCCCTCCGCCTTCGACTTTATATCCTTTAGACTACTAGCACTCTTCCGCTAAGTAACTAGTATCTTCGAGTAGGGATTAGTCTTTGTCTTAGCGCTAGTTTTAGCTAGTTTCTAGCCCTTCTAAGAAAGAGTCTTCCCTTAGACACTAACCTACGTACTCGGCGGTAGAGTAGGTATCTATACTTATATATTCGATAGTATACTATCTACTAGCTTCTACCTCTATCTTATTCTTTCTATCTCTTCTTCTTCTTCTTCTTCTTCTTCCTCTTTATCTACTATACTCGGTATATAGAAGGGGTCGGCACCTAGCAAATCTATAGTATATAGCTCTTTAGCTAACTATTTTTTATCTCTTCGTAGTACCGCTACTACTAGATTATAAGCCTATATATCTTCGATATATTATAAGGCGTCGACAAGGTCTTCTAGTATATATTAGGTCTTAGGTAGTAGCTCGACTGCCGACAATTAGTCAAAAGCTGCTTAGGCAAGGGTAGCGAGGCTAAACCCGCTCTCTAGATATACTAAATCTAACCTAGGGGGGCAATTAGATAGTAGCGACGATAAGGTATACCCTATAGAATTATCTGAAGCTTTAGAGGGCATAGTTTGCTAAGAAAATGGTATAATAATTGCTATCTAAGTGCTATACTAAATTCCGAGAGGTAGGTGGTGGACCCACCCCGGCAATCCCGACCCTTTTGCATGCAAGAATAAATTGACTTTTCGTCGGCCTGGTCCGTGCTGATCTCGGTCTTGACTTTGCGTTTGCGTTCCATCTCGTCTTTCTCTTTGCCATCTCCAGATCCATTCTCCAGCAACGACGATGATACAGCCACGCATGCTATGGCGGGCTCGGCCATTCGCTCGCCAAGCTACAAGATGGTACAGGATCAATTACGAGGCAGTGGCGAAGCTTGAACAGCAAGCGCGAGAAATCGATGCACGACCGCCGCCGACACCCAAGCAACGAGGCTCAGACAGAAATCTATTCTTTACAGCCATTGGACTAGTAGTGGCCGCGCCACTCATCACATACTTCTGGTATGAGCATAGGAAGGAGCACATGGGGAAGAAAAAGGAGGATATGATCAAGCAATTGGAAGAGAATCGGAAGACATGGCTATCGAAGAACAGATGAGAAAGCAGTCCCAAGATTGGGCCTATATCACATCTGGATGGCGCTACCTGCTTCTTGAGACCATCCGTAGAGGCTGCGCGGGTGCATTTGATGTCCTGAAGTTGCAACGCCGCACGCCGGACGTTGAACGGTAGCCTTGGGCCTTCTCACGAGAGAAACAGTGGTTACAGTTCAGAGGGCTCCATATCCGCAGCTCATGTCAACTCCGTTTGGAAATTGGTCACTATCCAGAGAACTGCGAGAATCACCAAGCTTCCTGTGCTGCAGACTGGACGACAACTTGGACGAATCATGACATATGCGCTGCCACTTGTGCTCGCTGCTTCTCGAGAACCGCTCGCGTTGCGCTGTTCTGGCTCAATACTGAAATGCTTCATCGCAGCTATCCTTGATCTGGCGTTCTTGGTGGCGCGGTTGCCGAAGCTACACCAAAAACAAATCACAAACCCTTCGACTGTCCAGTATGGAGTCGCTTGTTCCCGCGCAGTCAAATTCCTGGTCCGCATCTCGGTGGGTGAAGTGCTCTGGACTGATACGAGATCTCAGTTACTCTTCGTCTCCAACGCCGTTCTTTGCGCTGCATTTGCAAGACCTCATGCGCCTTTTAGCATCTTCCTAGCTGCTTGACCAAAGTCCCTTTCATTCGCGCTGGAAGGAGTAAGGCCCAGCTCCTTGGCCAGCTTGTCTAATGCCTTCACTTGAAGCCATCGGCGGTGATACAGCTTGTACCTATCAGGGCGATGTACTTTCATCTCGAAAGATTTTAGGCCAATGACAATCGCTGGAACGCTTTGTACAATGGCCCGAATCGTTTCGCAGACTGTTTCTCCGTCGTACCTCCGTCCGCCTTCGACATTTGGATCTGAACGCTCAGAGACGATAACACCTGCAAGGTTGATGTACTGGAGACTGTCGTAATGTCGGCGCAAAAACTCGACGATTGGGGTGAAGTCCAACATGCCTGGGCTCTTGTTTTCACCATGAATTTGGAGTTTATGGAGACTGGGATAATTGCCATGTCGCAGGAACCTTTCGAATACTTTGTCCTCGCCAAGAGAGGACTTCCACGTGGAGGGGACTTGGTCAAGATATCTGGTCGAAAATCTTGGGATCAGCATGCGGCCTCAATTGCGCAACAGGCGGGGAACTTACAGGGTTAAATCCTGGATACCATTCGAGCGACTTGCAATGTATTTCCAAAATGCCTCAGTTTTCATGCTAGCCGACCACTCGTCCGAACAGCTGATGGTAAGCTTCCTCAGCTTAGGAACCACATAAGTCAGAGCATCAAGTGCAGCATCCATGCACCGCGTGAGTCCGTGATACTCCTGCCCAAACTTGAGCTGGCCGCAGAGACAGTTTCCCAACTCCATGTTTCGGAGGTGAGCTTCGCCAGTGTGATCGCCTTGAAGACAGCAAACAATTGGCTTTGGACAAAGTCTGTGTCGTGAAAAATGCTAAGTACTGGGTCACTTGCTGTAATGGCACGAAGGCCCAAACTCTGTCTTCGTTCAGCGTACTCATTGCAATACCAAAGCGCCGTGGCGTTGAGACCGTCATCCTGGATGTTGTTGGCCAGAACAACGACTTTGAGTCCTTGCAGTCGCGCAAGCCCTTTTCGAAGGAACTTGAGCACGAAATCATCGATTGTGGATGACCAAGCGCTATGATCCGTCTTGTGCTCCGACACGATATGGTTGAATTCGTCGCAAGTCTTGCGAGCTTCCACTACACTGAGCTGTGGGCAAAGTGCTCGGCATTCATGTGCTGCCTATTTTCGGCAAAAGGAAGTCAGTATCGTCGTCCCCAGCGAAAATGACAGAAATGGGACGATATAGTCGGAACGTGCCACTTACAAGATCGTCTATAGTCTCGTCAAGGGCTCTTGGGATGTACACAAGCTTCCGGATGTGCTCTGCGAAGAAAGAAGGTGCAGCGATTTTGCAGAAATGCTCCAGCGATGTCTTGGTTGGCGACACGTATACAGTGCTGATGAGCTCTCCCAGGGTGCCAACCATTATCTGCTGCTTAGTCTTCGGGAATACAGTACGCAGCTTTAGTTCGTCCCACGCGCCAAGGTAGGACGCTATGTGCTGCAGCATCTCGAGTGGCAGCTCCGTAAAGTAGTCGTGGCCTGGCGCTGGGGCCATGATCGCTTGAATGAAGGGTCTCAGAAAGCTTGTCGGTGGTCTAGGCGAGGGCGCTACTATTGTATAGTTCTCAAGTGCGTCGACCGGCTCTCTTCCTCGCAGTTAGTTGTCGGCGTCTCGACCATGCGAAGTCTATCACGGATGCTCGGGACGGACAAAAGCGCTAGGATGAGTCGCGAATGAGAAGTGCTATACACTACGTTTGGAAGGATTGTCCCAAAGTTGCTGCCTCGACCGAGTACGTGTCAAGTTTTGAGTAAGTTCGAGGCGCTGGTTCAACTTCTCTTGAAGACGAGCTTCGGATTTGGGGGATTGAAATGCTCGGACGGGACGTACGGACATCCGGTGGGTTCGAGTGTTTACATGTGAAGGCGCGTGGCCAACCTAGACAACTATGCTTGCAGAGTAGCGTCATGAAGAGCCTGGCAGGAATGGGTGACGAGAAGGAAAGATCATTGACATATTCTTGTTATACGAGTCAAGCTGTGCTCTCGCGCGTGAGGTGTAGGATCTTCCTACTATCCTAAGGCTAGTTGTCTTTTATTCATCTTTTCTTTTTGTTAGTGCTTTATTTATCTTTTGTTGTTCTAATAAACAATCACATCTTAAAACTCGGGGAGTTACGTACTAGCTAAATAGCACTTCGAGCCACTTCTATACCCATCTCGGCCGCCAACGCTTTCATCTTCGACCCTTCTGTCCAATGGCTGCCGTACAGCCGATACCGGTTACGAGACGCTATCTTCATTTCGAAGATCTATAAATCTGGAATCCATGTGCGAAGGCTTGTGGCAAAGACACGAAGGCTGTCGCAAGCTGTCTTATCTTGATCGTTCTGTCGTGCGCAGCTTCAACTTATGGAACAGTGGAAGATGCGAAGCAATCTCCTCAAGCAGCTCGAGAGGTAGCTCCGTAAAGTATTCATGACCCTGTCGCGGCGGAATGCTCTGAGCTTGCAGGGTAGATGCCCATATGTCGAGTCGATGCGTCGGATGTGTCCAGAGCTTTCGGGAGGTGCCTCCGATGGTTTGTTGAATGTTTTGCGATGCTGATTGAGAGTTGTTGGCGATGTAGAATTGACGTTGCAAAGCTTGGACACACAAACGCGTTTGTGTTTCATCACATGCAGCCGTTGAAAGTGATGGCGAACCTCACTTTATCCAGGAACACGAAGAAGTCTCTTCGTTCGCTTTCCACCTCTTTCCTTTTCATTCACCATCTTCGAACACCACATCATCGGCATGGACGCCTCAACCATCATCTTCGCCACAGGACCCCTGCATTCGTTACCCATTCAACACCGTCAAACCAGCACAATGAAGCCCGTCGACCCCCCTTCAGGCCGCCGGGCCGTCGCCATCATCCACGACGACAACCTCGAGGTCGTTCTGGACATGTCGTCTCCACTCTACCAGTCGATTCGACTACAAGAGCGCAAAGACTCATACGTCTGGAAATCCCTTCCGCTGACATCGAAGCTCGGCGTACCACTCAAATTCAAGCTCTTGAAGGACGGATCACCGGGACCGTCGAGTAACAAAAGTTTGGAGCTGCTCTCACTTGAATGCGATCCAGAGTCAGATGACTTCGGAGAGCCTGTCCATCTGTTTGAGGAGGTCGTGCTCGTTGCTCGTCAGGACGATATGGACTTGTTGCCCAAGCAGATGCGGGCCATCATCGCGTTCCTCGACTCCGAGCTGTTGCCGCTGGTCCAGTACGGGATTCAGAAGGATGATATCGATGAGAGCGGCGGCGACTCCGATTCGGCAGGGAGTCCGAGCGAACAGAATCACGAGCAAGGAACTTTGCGAGAAGACAGCTTGCAGAGACAGGAGAGTGGCGGTGACGACTCCGCCGCTGAGGAGCACCTCGAAATTAGCTCCACCACAGCGCAGCCTGACGTGGTAACGAAGCAGGAGGCAGAGGACGCGCTGTCGCGGATTAATCCAGAGAATTTCATCTCATTCTTCGACTCGCACCGCGCGGAGCAAGCGAAGGAAGACATAACGTGGAAACTGGTGAGATGCCCTACGGAGAGCAAAGCAAGTTGCGGAAAGTGTGGTGCTGAAGATGGCGCAGACGGTCAAGCGCTCGAGGTTTGCGGAGGGTGTCGATGTGTGCTGTACTGCAGTAAGGAGTGCCAGAAGGCCGACTGGAAGGAGCATAAAGCAGCATGCAAGCGCATGGTATGGAAGATGACAAAGCGTCAAAACTTCAAGGATACATTCGAGTGATCATCACGATACGAAGCAGGACATGAAGAGGTTTTGGATCAAGGGATTTTGGATACCTCTACCTCTATCGCGCTGCAGGTGTATCAACGGCAACACTCAGCTCGAATTTGTGCTCAAACTCCTTGCTACAGATCTCTGCTTCCAGAACCATTTTCAGCCGATAGGTGCGGTTGATATTCAGAGTTCGGAAGCTTGGGCAAACACTCGAAGGGAGTCTGGCTTCGAAGGTAGCAGGAAATACGAGCTTTGAGCTTTTATCGGCCATTCGCTGTTCTCCCTCCACTGTTTGCGTGTCAGGACTCGCGTTCAGTAACATCTTCTCTTCGTCGATTTCTTCGTGTTCGCCCCTATCTAGGCTACTGCTAGCCCAGCTTTCCACGCGCAGTGCCCGGTAGAATGTGATTGGAATAAGTTTCATATCGCGTATCCGAAGCTGGACGGTTGGAATTGAGATGCTGTCTGTAGAGAAAGAGTCGATTTCAGCACAGGTTTGTATCGAAAACGAAGAGCCTGTTGGGACGATGGAGACAGTGCTGGCTTTGAGGACCACGTTTACCGATGGTGTCGATGATGAGAATTTGTCTTTGAAGCTGTGCATTGCTGACTTCTCTCCTCCAGTTAGGCGGCTGCTAGAATATTTCTCAGAAGGCCGAATTGTTTCCAAGAATCTGGTGTCCGATGGATTATGATTTGGAGGCGGAATAAGGACAAACCCTTTTACTGGTGAGGCGTATGGCTCCGAGCTGTCGTCTGCAAAATTTATGAGGACCTGCAAGCCATACTCTATCGAAGCGTAGCGGTCTGAATCATGCTGGTGGACGAATGTCGGTGGCAGAGGGTGACTTCTCATGGTATACGCTTCAGGATTGCTTCTGCCTTCAACATATGGGCCGCCTCCGGGAACGTCTTCCGTTGCCCATGGAATAGTCCAGGAGAATTGAGTGCTCAGTGGTTTCTCAGGAAGCAACTCAGTATTTGAGAAAAGTCCCTGGCCTTCTCGAAAAAGTTGCGCATCGTCATGGTAATGGATCGTTCTTCTCGTGTTCGTGTTGGGTCCGACAGCAGCTCCTCCTCTTCGTACTCTTCTGATATTGTGTGTAGTGGCTTTACCCATGCAGGTAATAGCCACGGAACTGATGGGTCGAGGTACTGGCGTCTGAATATCCACACTACCAGAAATTGGGAGACCCGGAGCGTATGGACCTGGGTGATCCAGATGTATGGCAACCTGAGGCGGCGGTACTTTCTCCTTGCGAGAGAATATACCCATCGTGTTCTTCGCAACTGTTCACGAGTTCCTTAAGTAAGCGTTCAGTGCAATTGAAGGTGGGCAGCCGGGCTCAGTATAGTTGTCCTAGATTCAGCCAAGTCTGCAAGGAATCCGATCCGTATTGAGTGAAAGTCCAGGGCAACAGGATTGCAGGATTTCAAACCTAGGAATGAAGCCTAGGAAGAGGATGCCTTCCACTGTATAGTGAATTTATATTTGTTGTGACCGGTACACTACATGCGTACATGCGATGATCTCCACCACGCTACTGGTATGGGGCTGTGCAATAGTTCTTTAGTGACGTTAAGCTCCTGCCACAGCCGCAAGCGGACGAAGGCTGTGGTACTCTCCTAATTCTATCATCAAAACCTCGACGTCGCATGATTGGCACTACAGAGCAGCTAATGAAAGGCAGAGAAAGAGGGGGAGACTGAATATAGCGTCCCAAGAAGCAAGTAGCAAAGTGAAAGTTACATGAATGTCGCCTTTGTCAGCATCGTGGCATGCCAAGACAGTTTAGTGGTCGTGGGACCGTGGGACGACAACCCTCTTTGACGAAAGAGCTCTACTAAGCTCTTCCCCACTTCCGCTGCTTTTCTACGAAAGTACTAGTAATAGGGTCTACTAACCTATAGATAGTATATACGCTCTATAACATACTATATACACGACCCTTTTAGGCGAGCTCGTTATACACATATAAGGCGGAGTTGTCGAATACGCTAATATCCCGCCTATAACCTACTAAACTGCTTAATATTACTTAGATATCCTAGTATTTAGGCATACGTAATATATATCTATAGGTATATACTAGTATAATATACGATATATATAACCTCCTTTTATTAGGGGCTACAAACCTATAATACTAGAAAGTACTATAATATCGTATACTACGAGACCGCCTACTTTAGATATCCTAACTCCTTAGTTAGTATCTAGGACCTAAGCATCTCTATATCTCTTTATAAACAAATCTTTCCCCTTCTAATACTATTCTACCCTATACTAAAGCAAAATCTATACTTTCTTCTATATAATTTCTAAGAAAAACAATCTATTAGATAAACTATATCTCTAGATCGTAAAGAGCCTATACTAAAGGGAAAGGCTTTAGAAGAGGCTTTAGTAGAGGAGTTATTAGAATTTCTATAACTTTATATTGATTTTAATAGTAGGAAGTCGTAGTATAATACGAGGTTAAGGCGATAAAGTTTGAATTTAAGAATAGGATTTAAATAGCTATTATAGTAGAAGGCGCGGCTACTAGGATAAAGCGTTTTAGTAATAGGAAACTTAAGGGAAAGAAGGTAGATTTTTTATAAAGCTTTAATTCGAGCGACTGAATTCAAGTCGCTAGATGCGTATTCGTTACTTCTTATTATTTCGTCTCTCATTTCACGTTAGCATTTAAAAGGGGGTTCTGTATGCCGGTACCCGCATAACGAGACTTTTTCCGTCACTGGAGACCACAGCAAACTCAGCGACACTGGCACCCGTCCCATTCTTCTCATTCTCCGTACCGTCATTGGCATGGCTACCCGAGATCTCCAAGGTGGCATACCTCGCGGACCAAACAGGAGTTTCCAACGTCACATTTGTGGTGTTGGACATGTAGGGACGAATGAGATCTGCAGTCTCGGCATCGTAAGGGTCGCTGACCTGGACGTCATTGCTCTCCGTGACATTGACGGGCGGCACTGCTGTGATGTCTGACAGATTGTGGAAGGTGACTTTGTAGCTCTTTGGAGGTGCTTGTGCCCAGTCGAAGCGGATCTCGGTGATCGGGACAAAAGGTGGCCCACCAAGCTGGACGGTCAAGGAGGATGTGATGTTGGCCTGCCTAGGCTGCCATTTCGTGCTTACAGCGCCATCGACTGCACTCAGTGGAAACTGTCCTGGCTCGTAGTCCTGCTCGGATGTCACTGGCTTACACTGCGCCATGTTGCCGGGTATCGTTTTTGTGGTGCCAATCTCACGATTCTTCAGCGTGATAGTGCCGTTGGGCTCAAGGCTGTGAACTTTAGTGCCCTCCAGTGACTGCGTTACAGGTATGTGGGAGTCCTCAAACGTTTGGTTGGCGGTCGTCAGGGGCACTCCAGTTCTAGTCAACGTCGTGTGGGTCTGATTTGACACCGCCTTGATGGGCCAGCCATTCCAATAGAAAGTTCTATACGACAGTTGCGGAATTTGAGGCGGCAGAGAAGGGTCCACGTTGAGAGTGTCAACGTTCAATCGCAAGCCAAGGTAGCCGAAGATCGCAACACGATTTGCGCCGCCGACGCCGGTCAAGAATGGGAACGCGGGATGCGTACCGCCATTAGCTGAAGCGTCGTCTATCAGTTGCTCGCTGAACTGAAACCATGGTCCTCGTGTGTAAGGCTGCGAGCCATATAGATCATAGGTGTACGACGAGCAGCCAGAGGGGCTCTCTCGGTTTGCGACAATGCTAAACACTCCATACGTCATGGCCGGGCCATCTGGTGACTGAGCAGCAGCATAGTAGTCGAGATTGCTGAGGGTATACGGGTTTGGCCATTGTAGAAAGTCGTCGACGAGCACAATATCGGCTTGCTTCACCTCGATGCTTCCATTCTGAGTTTTGTATTCCAAAATGATGTTGGCATCATGGGAGACTGGGATCGTGATCAGGTTGGAGATGTCCTGCCAGGTCTCATTTACTCCGATGCGGAACCGCTCACGGATGTCATTGGTGCTGTTGAGATGGCTCTGCATAAGCAGCATGGTGTATCCAACATTGTCTTGGAAGTTCGCGTACTCATCTGGATCGGTGGCGTTATACAGCTCATACAATCCAGTCGTCTCATTGAAAGTGACGAGATCAGCGTAAAACTGTGCGATTGCCTCGTAGATTGGGAAGAGCTGGTGTCGAAAGTAGTCGGTGTCTCCGGTGACTGCCCAATAATTGAAGAACTCTAGACCAATATCGCCATTGAGATGGTACTGGTAATCGAAGCATGGGCCGGTGCCAGTGCAGTTGCCGAATCGTCCACTGGTCCAAGAGTAGGCAGCTCCTTCGGAAGAGAACTTGCCAGTCTCGTTCTGGCTTGACTGATATGCTGTTAAGACGTTCTGACGTGCCTGTGGGCCACGATCAACTCTGTACTGAGCGATCTGTTTGGACGAATCGGGGAACGAGACAACCAGACCCGGCTGCATCCACACTTCAGAATCCCAGAACACAAGACCTGCATAGCAAGACCCGCCAAGACCACACACGCTGATGCTGTTTTTTGCAAGCTGCGTGTTGTTTCCTGCGGCCAAGACGGCATTGGCACTGATGGTATTCTCTAACAATTGAAATGGATTGGTCACTGCAGTTATTGCCAGCTCTTGCACGTCCAGATTGTCGGGCAAATCACCGTTCTCATCTCGGAAGTCGTCAACGCTATCTTCTGGCATGACCGTGTGCCATTCAGCGACGTGTGATGCGTACAGCTTATCATAACCTTCGCTTGCCGCATACCAGCTTGCGTTCAAAGCCGCAGAGGATGGATCGTCAAAAGCATCACCTGAGGCTGCTCCGACATACTTGGTCACTGTAGCTGTGGTGCCGCGAGCGAGTGCAACTTGTATCGATTGCGCGATTGAAGAGCTGTTGCCACCAACAACATCTCCTTCTTGAATGATTTTACGGCTGCCAGAGACGGCATGATCGTCTCCGATCAGGGCAGAAAATAGATATGCCGTGACATTCCTGAGCCCGTCGGGAGATACTGCACTCCAAATGACCGGCCAGACTGGGAAAGAGCCTTTCTCCACGAAATTGGTTCGCACCGCGCAATCTCCCTCGAGCAGATCGATAATCGTGGCATTGGTATCTTCGCTCGCGGTGAGCTGCAATCGTACTGCTGCTTGGTTGACATGCAACTTATGCACAAACATGGCGTATGAGACATGGATGGGAGAGGCACTGCTGGGGGTCCACGTATAGTTCCAGTACATAGCTCCATTGCGGACGTCCAGCGTTGAGCTGAAATGCGAGATTTGCTCTGCAGGCACACTTGCATCGAGAAGATCGCTTCCAACTTGAATAGGCAGGCCAGCCCAATGTGGGACTCCAGAAATGACACTCTCGCCACCATACTGGTTTAGCCAGGCAAAATTGGTCCCGTTCGTGGTAGGTTGCGAATCCCAGAATCCTGATATCGTCGCGAAGCTCTGTCTTCGATCATAAAGAGGCCATCCTTGAATGACGTCTCCGTTGACAGGCTCATCAACGTCAAAGAATGGACCAACAGCTGCAACGTTGATGCCCAAGTAGCCATTGGCCAAGGAAAATCGGGACTGATACTGAGCCTGATCGAGGAGAGTGGTTTTGATTTTCCAAGTCTCACTATCCCATGTTGTGGCCTTGAAACGGGTGTCGTACAGCTTTGCCTGGCTGGCCTTCAACACCGCGGCCAGTGCAATGGCGAATGAGCACCACAGCATGTTTTCTGCGACGCACTTTTGTCAGCGTACGAAACTGCGGAACACTCACCCGGTGGAATTGAGGCCGCTCTCCGCAGTCTGTCTTTGTGCGTGGCCTGACAAACAGATCACATTGATGGATGAAACGGAAACGGAACTTGGAAGAATGAACACGAGCGTCGGCCCGACTCTCGCGAGTTCCGTGCGTGCCATGCATGCTTCATCTCGCGTGCAACATCCTCACCCGCACGTTGCACCCCGAGATTATTGTGAGCTGAGAGCTGAGATGGCTGCCGCTGCAGCTCTGGGGGCCTGAGGCTGCCTGCGCATGCGCATGCGCATTGACGTGGCTGGCAATGACGATGTTTCCCCGCCTCCCTCCCGTTGCACTTGCCCGCATTCGGTAGCTGGTGCCGTTCTCACGTGGTAGTTCTATTTCAGCCTTCTACGACCGACATGAGCTTCTACTGTATCAGAGCGTTTTAGCCACTTGTTACGCCTACACTAACACCTTTAGGTAGGTCTACGGATATAGTCGTATAAGCCGTTAGAGTAGCTCTATATAGTAATAAACCGTACGTTTCCGAGCTGTCTCTTTCTAGTCGCGTATAACCGTATAAATATCGCGTTTTCGAGGCGCGCCTAGCTTCGAGTATAGGCTAGAAAGGTAACTGCTTTCGAGGTGTCGTAAACTCGCTAGTATAACGCCGGAAGACGAAGAGATATTAATCTTTATTATTCTCGTAGTAATAGTATTCGAATTAGATAAGCCGCTATAGTAGAAACAAGAGCTTACCGAGTACGAGTTCTTCGAGTAGACACTAAATAGCTAGCCGAAGTCGTAGTTTCCGCTATACTATAGGTATATAGAATATTAGTATAGGAAGTTAAGTTAGAAGTTAAAGTATAGCGGCACCTCGTCGTCGCTAAGCTAACTAATAATATTGCCTTAGGTTTAGCAAAGTCTAGGTTAAGGAACTAGTAGAGGCATTAGATATTGCTACTATTAACTTCTATAATAGCATTAAACCGAGCCCGGAATATACGCTCTATATAGTGTTATAGCGCCTTACCTAGCCTTCTCGATAGGCTATCGCCTACCCTCTCTTTAGTAACTGCGAGTCGTACCTAAGTATCGTCTTTATAGATACGATCGACTATCTCGTACGGCGCTTTAGATATCTTATCGAATAGTACCTACGATTACGAAGCTATAGTCGCCTTAAATACTTCGCTAAGGCAATAAGAAGAGCCGGCTTAGGAGGGTAGATTTAGGGCTTCGTTAACGGTTATTTCTAAGGATTCTATCGACCTACTATCGGTTAGAGAAAGCAGTATTCTAGGTATAAGAAAGAGTATAGTAGTAAGTACTAAGGCATTATTACACCGGACGGCATTATATCTTTAATAATAGGGCTATATAATAGCTCTAACAACGATTAGGAGATATATAAGACTTTAGGCGTTATACGCCGGCTTCGAAGAATAATAGACCCTCGTACCGGCCGTAGAATGCTATATCTTTATAGTAATCTAGTATACTATAGTGCCTTCGGAATAATAGCTCCTTATAAGCATTATCTTAGCCGCAAGATACTTACTGCTAAGCAACGGAAGTTTAATAAACACCTCGCTAGTCTACGTATTTCTGTCGAGTACGCATTCGGTTAAACTATACGCCTTTAGATATACAACACCTTTGCTAGGCAGCTATATATAGGCAAGCAGGCAGTTAGAGTCTTTATAATAGTCGGTACGCTATTAACTAACTACTATATTTGTATAGAAGGTTATAATTAAACGAGCGAGAAATACCTAATAAAGCCTCCGGACCTCTATAAGTACCTAGACATCGACAATCTATACGATACCGACTCGGAGAGCGATTAGATTCGCTTTACTATAGCGTTTACTATAGACAACCGAACAGCGGGTCTATTAACGTCGCCGCCGTATAAACAAGGTATGCTCGTCGCCTCTCGAAGTCGTAGAAGTCGCATTTGCGGAGATCGCCGGAGGTGCTAAGAAGTTTATATAGAGATACTAAAACTTAGATTCAAAAATTCATTTTATAATATATATATACCGTATAACAAAACTAATTATAGGAGATGTTTCGCTACTATCGAAAGTATATCTCTAATTTATTTGCGCCTTATATACTAAATGTTAACTATATTGTCGTACTATTCCTAAAGCTAAGGTAAGCTTCTTAGATCGGCGGACCTAAGTCGAAGTTCTCGGGGTTGAATTTACTTATTTACGCTTATGCCTACGCCTATAACTCCTGCCTCTACTTCTATACTATCTATCCTATTATTATAGCAAGATCTCCTTATATCTTTTGCATTCCTTTATTCAACTTAGCAATAGCTATCGTAGTTACTATGTCCTACTATGCGCTACTATCCGTACGAGAAGCTATATAACTTATTAACTTCTTTAAATCCGGCCGTAAGTTAGTCGACTCGTCGTTAACCGGCTTCTTACGCTTCTTCTATCTACGCGCTAACTATACACTCGCAGACCTATCTCTTCTACCTAATAGAGTTAGAGTCGGAGTTGCACTTAATAAAGACCTACGATTAAAGTTTAGTCGTACTAGCAGCGGTATTGTTAAGCGAGAGTCGTCTTCGTCGGTAGCGTTATCGAAGTCGCTTATATCTTCGTCCGGATAATCTATAGTTAGGTCTTAATCTTCTACAACCTCGTTATTATCTAATAGCGTATCTACTGTCTTTTTATCTCCTTGTCTAACTATTATCTTTGTACGCTTAATCTACGACTTTACTACTTCTATAGTTGCTACCTATACTATCTTCTTACGGTCGACTTCTTCCTATTTCTTCCTATCCTTAAACGCTATCTAATCCTTTATTACTATACTTATATTAGTCTCGTTCTTAGTACTAGTCTTAGATAGATTAGCGAAGTAGGTACGCTACTATATCTCGTAGGTCTTTATTATACGGTCGAGACTATTATAGACAGGTCCGCTATTCGACTAGAAGAGAGCCGTTATAACGTTCTAGAAGCCGTCTCTAAATTAATACTAATTGTCGTTATAGGTACGTGCTAATAGTAATAACGCCTCGTCGTCTAATCTGCCTCTTCTACTAGTATACGGTATTAGCACTAGAAGTCTACTATTCGCTATATTACGGCTGTCTCTATCTATGTCTCTAGTTACTATTTTACCCTCTTCTTTAAGCGTAGCGATAGCAGTCTTCCGCCGCTAAGAAGCGCTCTTCTTCTTTAATCGACTGGCCGCTTAACTCGCTATATCGCTAGACGTAGGTATCTTACTCGGTACTAGTATACGCGGTTATAGAGTGTCCGGAGATACTAATAGACGCTCGATCGACGGCTTCGCTACTATCTCTTCTTATGCCTTAAACTAAGCCGCTCTCGCTATAGCGGCTCTTTAAGCGGCGGCAATATTATTAGTATAGTTAACGGCTACTTATTATGCCTTAACTTTAGTACGAGATAAGGCATTAATAGCTAGCGAGTCGTTACGATAGAAGTCGCTCGGTACTATAGAGGGCTCTCGAGAGGCCGTTACTAGAGCCGGAGTTATACTAGCGCGAATAGTAGAATCTAAACGGAATGTTATCTAAGACATTATACTTTAATTTGTTAAGGAATGCTAACAAAGTAGAGCAGTTCTAATAGTACGCGATTCTATACGAGTTCTACGCGTTACGGGCACGAGATGTAGTCTCTACTAAGCGGCCTCTTCCGCCCTGTCTAACTATTCTCGACACTTGGTATCTAAACAAGGGCATAAGACCCACCTATAGAGGCCGCTCCACAACCGGAGCGGCCTCTACAGGTCCGCTTTAACCATTGCCTGATAGAGCCGCTAAGAGTGTCCGGATCCAGTATGTCCGAAGGTGTTGGTATAGGCGTAACAAGTGGCTAAAACGCTCTATCACCGGCTGTCCAAGGTGATGAACAGGCTCTCGTCTGCGCGGTCGAGAGCATTTGTTCCTCGCTACGGTTGAGCTGACGCCCCTCAATAGATAACGTATTGCCTAAGAAGGCAGGTTCTGTATCAACATCGAATCATGGAATGGTGTTGGTCATCTGCCATCCTTCCGAGGCCTGAAGAGGCAGGTCGTCCGTTCACAAAGTGTTGCTGAAGCCGTGCAGAACCAGAAATCCTTTCGCGAAACCCACTCCCCAAAGCATGGTACATTATGACCTGAAACCCTGTCTGGCTGTTTTGCGCCCGAGAAACTTCTGCCATCGGGAGACTCGTGGATTCGCGACAGTCTATAGAGCGGCGCAGCGGAATGCGGTTGAAAGATGTAGAATAATTAGCGGGCGGCTGCTTGTCCTTGTTGCCATGCCATGCCATCATGCCATGACACTCGAAGACCCGCTTGTGAATAACAAGCACTCTCGCTCCAGGAATGTGTTGTTGCTTGAGCACTTCTTCATGCCGCTTGTGCCATCTTGGAAGGCTTGGGTTGTAGCACTAACATTGCTTGTTTCCTAAGCGAAGCCAATGAGCAGCAGCGCCAAGGGAAGTCACTACCAATGTTCTTTCCTCCACGCCACTCAAACGTCGCACTTCGCACATCGCGTGAAATAATGCATCGACTTCTGATCACCACCACGGCAAAGCGCCGATGTGGTAGCGCATAGAACCGCATGTCGCCGCCTCTGTGGGATCTTCACTCACAGACCCAACGGATCTCCACATCGCGTGGTACACGAAGGCTATAGCACTCAAGTTAAGTACCTCAGGTCGCACCGTCTTTCAGCTTTGCGCCTGCTTCCATCTCTTCCATCTCACACTGGTCACAGCGATCTAACAGTGCTATTGACAATGGCGACGAACCACGAAGATACGGCGGTGCAGCTGCATGCGACCTTCGAGCAACGTAACGGCTCCATCGGCGACCGCAAGAGCGTTGACATGACGGGCGCCCAACTACCGGTCATGGAGAAAGAAGGCGCCGTGATGGCCACCGACATGGAAGAGCAAGCGACGCCGGATGACGCCGAGCCGACAGAGCATGAGAAACAGATGCTTCGCCGTGTTGGAGACAAGTTCCCAGCATCAGCATATCTCATCGCTGTCGTCGAGCTGTGCGAACGCTTTACCTGTGAGCTCCTACACGTCCATGGGATAGATCCAGATCGATGAGCTCACCATCTCTGCAGACTATGGATGCCAAGGACTTTTCCAAAACTACATCAACAATCGTCCAAGTGGAGTCGACGGGCCTCGAGGTCTTGGCCTGGGACACGCAGGTGCAACGGGACTGAACCTGTTTTTCCAGTTCTTCTGCTACATTACTCCCATCATCGGTGCCATCATTTCCGATCAATACCTGGGCAAATACAAGACCATTCTCATCTTCGCAGCTGTCTACTGGGCTGGCCTGCTCATTCTCTGGACCACAGCTTTGCCCGTTTCCATCGAGAACGGATCAGCACTCGGTGGCTATGTGACAGCCATTGTCGTGATTGCCTTTGGTACGGGAGGCATCAAGTCCAACATCGCCCCTCTTATCGCCGATCAATATACTCGCAGACTGATGGCCATCAAGACCTTGCCTTCAGGTGAGCGTGTCATCATTGACCCAGCCATTACCTACCAACGAATTTACATGATGTTTTACGCCTGCATCAACATCGGCTGCTTGTCCTTGCTAGCTACTCCTTTCATGGAGAAGTACAAGGGCTTCTGGACAGCCTTCTTGATGTGCTGGCTTGTCTTCTGCATCGGCGTGGGCGTGCTCATCTTCTGCCGCGGCAAGTACATTGTTCGGCCTCCCCAGGGCTCCATTATCACCGATTCTTTCAAGGCGATTGGCATGATGATCGCCAGCCGCAACGTGAATGCTGCCAAGCCATCCTGGCGCGCTGCGAACGGAAAGACGAAAGTTGTGCCGTGGAACGACCACTTCGTCGACGAACTGAAACGCGCTCTCATGGCTTGCAAAGTCTTCGTCTTCTATCCAATCTTCTGGGTTTGCTACGGCCAATTCAGCTCCAACTTCGTGTCTCAAGCCGCTCAAATGGAAGGCCATGGTATGATTTCTGCGGTCGAATCGAGTTGATTGCGAATCATATTTGCTGACAATGTTCAGGAATGCCCAACGACCTCATGCAGAACTTCGATCCGATTACCATCATCATCTTCATTCCAATCCTCGACCGAGTCGTGTACCCAATCCTCCGCAAGATGAAGATCGAGCTTAAGCCCATCGCAAGAATTACGATCGGATTCTTCCTGGCTTCTCTTTGCTTGGCTTATGCTGCAATCGTTCAGCATCTCATCTACAGCGCAGGTCCCTGCTACAGCAGCCCAGGTGCCTGTCCAGCTGGTATGGACGGCTTGTCACCACTCCCGAACCACGTCCACATTGCCGTTCAAACACCCGCATACGTCTTCATCGGTCTATCCGAGATCTTCATCTCCGTGACCGGACTGGAATACGCTTACACTAAGGCGCCACCATCGATGAAGTCATTCGTGCAATCTCTCTACCTCTTCACGAACGCACTTGGCTCAGCTATCAACGAAGCCTTCGTTCCCGCAACCGGCGACCCCGCGATCATGTGGATGTATACTGGCATTTCCGTCGGAGCTGCCGTCACTGCCGTGGTCTTTTGGTTCACATTCAACCACTACGACAAGCAAGAAGAGGAGATGAACAAGCTTGACGCTTTTGACTCTTTTACGGGCAAGGCTGGCGAGGAAAGCGAGACACATAGCCAGAATCAGCCCGAACCCCTGCCTGCTGAGAAGATATGAAGTGTATCTACAGCACTCTGCGTGATACCAAAAAAAAAAATATCAAACTTGATATCCAGACCCCGCCTTCTTCTTCTTCTTCTTCCAACTCACATTCCACTAATATCAAAACCCAACATCACCAACCCCTCCCCTCCCCTCCCACAGTCCTCCTCCTACTCCTACAAGTCTCCATCCCCATGCCCGTTCCCCACCCTCACCCTCACCCACACACCAAATTAACATCCTTCTCACACTTCTTCTTCCCCTGAATCCACCTACTCCCTTTCTCACATTTCATCGGACGCGCCTCCAAACTCTGACACGTCGCATCCGTGCAGGTGCATGAATAGTACCCGTTACAGTCCACAGGGTTCGGGTAGAGGCAGTCGCTGCCACTTTTGCAACTTTTTCCGGTCTTGCCGGGTAGTGGACAGTTGAAGTTGGGGCTGCTGCCGGCTGGGACCATGATGGGTTTGGGTTTGGCGATTGTTAGGGCTGGGAGGAGGAGGAAGAGGAGGTAGTAGAATGTGGATTTCATTTTTTGGTTTTGGTTTTGTTGGTGGGAGAGGGAGAGGGAGAGGGAGAGAGGGAGAGAGGTAGGAGGGTGGTTTTTAATTAATTTTGCGATCCTATGACTACGGTAGTTTTTTTTGTTGTTGTTTGTAGATGAGGTTTGGAAAGGGATCTGGACATTCTAACTGCCGTTGGAGGGATGGGATGGAAAATGGCTCTGCACTAGGTAAGTGTAGTTTTTTGAAGTGGATCAGGTCCGTGCGCCTGCAAGGGGTTTGGCAGGTAAGTACATCGTTAGGACTAAGGACTAATCTACCGAGTTAAGCTTATCCTTACGCGTACGCCGACTAGCTTGAAGTAGCTTAAATTTACAGGGTTAGGCGGGTCGCGGCAGTGGTTACAGCACGACAAAGACGGAAGGAAGGTTCGCAAGGGGCTGTTTCACTGCTATAGAATTTTCTAGACTAACGCCAAAGAACCATGTGGTCGAGTCGAGTCTTAGTTATGGGTCTTGGAATGACTGTCACCGCCTCCGCTTTACCCTCGTCGAGGTCTGCGTGTATTTCTATGCTCTGCTCTCTGCCGTCCTTTCTAGCCCCCGCGAGAGCGGCGGGACGAGTTTTCGCGGCGCTGAAGTGCACCTCGTCCGTCTAGATGTTGTTCATAATTCTGTGCCACTAAAATTCTCCCCTGCTTCTTTGGATACATCTTCAAAACTTGTGAATAAATGGTCTAGTCGTAGAGGAGGGGAGTTGAGGACTATAGGTAGGAAGTCGAACATGCCCCAAGACTTTTCGTCTTCTGCATGAGGAGCGAGTCCGACCAGGTCATTTTCGCACAGAGATTGGATAGATTCTGAACTTCTATACACCCTAACAGTATCAGCTTCGTAGCTCGAGGATTCCGCTAAGACGCGTGCCTTGTTACTCGTATTCGAATAGTGCCTTTGTATGCTCGCTATGAATGCAAAGCCGACAAGTCCCTAGAGCACAACACTCTTCCGCTGCAAGAGAATGCCAAGACTCTATTGCTATGTTGGTGTTGCCGCGCTGACGTTTCAGTACCGCTCGAAGAAGCAGTTGCAGTGCCAGGTTTTGTAGTCGATGTAGGCTGACCAGCTCTAGGAGCAAAAGTTTCTGTTTCTGCTGGACTCGACTGATCTGACGATGATGTGTCCGTCTCATCAGCCGCCGACACCGTCGTGGCAGAACTCCCCAGACCGCATAACTGTGGGAACATGTTCTCGCTCGACTATAGATATACCTCCTCAGTCAGAAAGGCACGCACGATTCCCCATCCCATCACCAGCCCGAAAAAAAAACTCACCATCCCCATTCCCCTTCACAACCGCAGTCACCCATTCAAACTTCGACAACTTATCCGGATTTCCAGACTCAAATTTATCGGTACGATATAAGATTCCAAAGCGACCGACCGACTCATCATCTGCATTCCGCAAAGCAAAGCAGCACCTCGGACAACGCTGTTCGTGATCACGACATCTATCCCGCTAAATTGATCCCGGATCCCAACTTGTTTGAAGACTTCATCCTGCTTCGAATAAGAACGTAGGGCTAAGGAACCATTTGCGTAATTCCTATAGAGGCATTGATTTGTAGCTGCGTCCGGGATGGAGAATGTTGATGATGATGATAATGGGAGACCGGAGGCGTCGAGGCAGCGAGCGAAGGTCCATTCGTAGGTCCTTGGATGTTTCCTGAGTCGGCTGTGTCTCTGTTATTAACTTTTTTTTTTCTTTTCTGGGGATTTTGGCTGGACGATGGACTGACTGATTCCAAGGGACATTGTTATTGCCGAAATTCTAGAGTGTTGTTCCGACAGACATGATGGCGAAGCTGTTCGGTGTTGCAAGTCGGGAAGAGAAGGTGAGCCTTGATGAGGACTTTCAGTCTTTCTCTGCTTGCGGCTTGGGTCGCGTCGCATCGCATATTCATATTTGCGCCTCAGCTTCCAGACACTCAGCTATGAAAGCATGTGCTCAGACTATGTAGAACCAAGTGAGGTGTCGATAACAGCCACGCTGAAGCTGCAGCCGTTAGACAGTTCTTTTTACTGCGTTACGCAAGCCACAAAAGCGGGTTACGCTGTGTAGTAGCGCTTTTGCTCAGCTGAAGCTGAAGCGCTACGCATTGTGCTCGAGCTGCTTCAAGCATTTATAGCAACACCGCACAATTCAACAATTCTCGTCACAGGCGCTGTTAGAGAAGCACATATCATATAACCTACTCCTCCGCTCTTTCCCAAAGCAAAATCGCCGCAATCAATCGTCTTCGTGACTCCAACTCCACAACCTCCTCATAGCGCTTCGATCTCAATAACGGTGCTCGGAAAGAGCACACTTGGTCAAGGTTGTAGTCGCGTCCTTATCTATAGCCTGAGAGATTGGGCAGACGATTAGACATTGTGGACCTTTGGTAACAATGTCCAAGGAGCAGTTGTGGCAATCAGTGTAGAATGTCGTAGTGTGAGCAGCTTGTTGCGGGCAGCAGCCGGAGGGATGATGCGTTATGGTCGAAGTACATGGGGTTGTCCGAGAGTTGTGTGTCCAGGCCAGTGGCATTGTGGCAAGCAAGACGGAGAAGAGAGTCGGAGTGATCATCGTGTATATGTCGGTTGGTTTGGCCAGGTGTTTGAATGTCTGAGTCCGATGGGAAGCAAGGTTGTATCGGATTCTAGATATGTTTGAAGGCGTAGGTGTGGAACGAGAGATTAACGATGTGCGAGATGTACGGTATGTGTAGCAATCATAATCATGAGATCCCGCACAATGACTGGCTTTCATACTCATCCACTTCATCTCATCTATCATATTGCTGTAGTTGAGCTGACAACAGTTAGTGTTCTCTTATGCCTATTGCAGAGGATTTCTGGAACGCTCGTCGTAGGATCTGATGCAGGAGAGCTGGAACAGCCTTACCCCTCTGAAGGTTTCAGGAGTCAACCAAAGATTGGCTCAAAGCCGATGATTCAAGCGTGTGGACCAGATCCGATTTGCTAGTGTGCGCTGGCTGTATTGCTGACTGTGAGGTATATACAACTACTTCGGAGTCTTCTACCGTCTTTTGGCCATTATCCAAGTCATTAAGATTACTCTATTTTTGAACTGCTCGTACAAATGGCTCGCTGGGTCTGAGCATGGTCTCAGTTCTTCAGAACGCCGAGTCGCCTCATTGACGTTGCTTTCTTGATGTCTTTACCAGTTGCCATCGTCCGAAAGCATATACCTCCGGACGTTCGTAGGGCTCAGCTTTGCTCGTGATTGATGCTTGTATCCAGTTTGTGCCATTCAATTCCACGATCTCGGCCTGTATATGCACCCATACTCCGGGTGTGGTCTCGTCGAGAAGGTCATGATTGTAGCCAAGTTCCACTTCTTCCGCTGCCATGCTTGGTCCGCAAACCAGAGTTCCAACAGCTGTCTCCATTGCCGACTCGAGAAAGTCTTCGTTGCTCGATCTTCGCAACGGCAGTCTTTGAACCCACTGTGCTATTGTCGGGGCTCTGGCAGCCGAGATCGTGGACTGGACCGATCTTCGCCTTCCATGTGCAAGTTGTGAGCATCTCTTGACGAAGGATGAATGACTTGGCGGATGTGGTTGATTGCTCATTCGTTGAATCGTTGTCCGCTGGATCGCCAGTGGATCATGCAGGTCTTCGAAGCCAGGTTGATACATGGTATTGATGAGAGACATTGTTCCAGATGAGCAAGGCTAATGTGCCTGAGGGCTTGATGTTCGAACTGTCGTTGGAGTAGGAAGGTTGCCTCGTTTGTAGGATGAGGAAAAGTGCTCGATGCGAAAAGATGGCCGCTTTTGAATGTTGACCCGTGATTATAGGCCAAGTCCAAATATATCTGATTTGAGCAGGTATTGGTTTCGGTGTGGCTTCAACTTCTTCTGCGAAATGTAATTCCGTCTCAATCCAGCCGCAAAGCGTCCAATGATTTCTGCAGTGCTCATGCCACCGCTACTTTCCCAAGCTTCGCTGCATATTCCACAGTGCTTGGCGCTTCGATAGATGGCGCCCAAGAATAGACCCTGTGCACTGCATACGAGTTACTGTGCACGTGGCAACGCCATCATGATTGATGCGCATCGCTTACGGAAACGCAGTGCTCCCTTGGCACGAGAGGAATGCTTCAACGACGTCAGTGAAAAGCACCAAAACTCCTGGGCAGTCAAGAATGGTCTCAGTGCGAATGAGGGTCGCTGCCGCAAGTTGCTGCCACGCCCGGTATTGTCAAATAAGGAACCCTGTTGAGCATGTGAGTCGATACCGATGCCATTCTTCCGGAACCGATGCGGGAGTAGGCAAGTTACACACGCGGTCGCACTACGCAGGTACACGGTACATGTTGCATAACTTCAAGCCTTCGGCTTTGCGCGATCTACCGTAGTGGTGGATTTCTGCTCGGTGAGGAAGAAGCTCGATTATTTGGTGGGACTATGCCGTCAGCAAGCAATCACGCCTCTTCCGACCTGATACTATACAATCACTGGTCCCAGCATGGCCTCAGCGCAGGAAAGCCGCCACAGGTGAGTCTCCAGTTCTGCAGGCGACGACCGGAAGCTGCTCCTATATGGAACGTCTTGAATGCACTACTGTGGCTGTAGCTTGAGCCCATTTCCAGTTTGCAGGAGCATACAGTATCATCGCGCCACTGCACTCCTCGAATGCTGCATCTCATCGGCTCACAGTGCAGCCTCACCGCTTTGATTCCGGACCTTACTGCGCCGCTGTAATCACGTTCGAGCTCTTCACGCTCGCCCTATATTCATAGCTCTGCTATCTCGCCACACTTGTGAACGTCTCCTGCTCTTTGCAACCTATGCGCACTCTTGCTCTTCTGCTCGTGGCTGCTGGGGGAATTAGGGGGGCCGAATGGGAATCCGCTCGTGGCTCGATGGCGCTGTCCTGAAACGACTGCGAATAAGCCGTAATATGAATAACGCAGGCCAATATCTTGATGCAGCCTATGCTGAGGTCAAAAGTTCTCAATATGGTGAGAAGAGTGATAGGTAGATACCGTGATACTTCATGACGGGAGTGATGGGGAGATTCTGCCAAGCCGGACTTGCAGGGATCAACAACAGCAATAGAATAGCAAGCTCCCGCGTCGCTGCTTCTGTGTAGAAGAACTACATCGCCCATCTCCAATTCTTGAGCATTTACCTACGAGGAGCTCAGCTGCTATGCTTAGTCCAGTAGATGTCGCATCGCGTGGCGGAATGAGTCCAGGGTGGCTGCCAAGTGCGAAGAATGTCCTGATATCATGTCTTAATATGACTGCTTGTTATGGTCTCATTCTCAAAGACACTAGGACCCATTCTGGTTCAACACGATAGATCTTTCCGGCCACTCCAATAGGGCGACCATAATCACACGAGAGCAATTCAACACAATGACTATAAAGATGCCTTCGCCTTCGCTGTACGATGGCAGGTCACGCCAGACTTCAGTTCGAGGCTTTGCCTTAGCATGTCTGATATTCCTAGCACTGATCTGGATCATCAATACACACCCCTTGAGCCAGCAAGGGCACGCCAAAGGGTCGAAACAGCTGGACAGACCGCCTCACATAGACACAGACTATCGTACCCGGACCGCCTTCGATGTCGTGATGAGCATGTATCGAGAAGATCCCGCCGAAGTCGCCATGAACGTCACTCGCATCCTCAACACCTCTTCCGTCCCGCCTGACTACCGTATCTGGATCTACATGAAAGCCGACGATGTCGACATCCATGCTCTCGCCTCCCACTTCCCTCCCGGCAGAACCCACATCATCAAACGCCCCAAAATCGGCCGCGACAGCGAAACTCACCTCCATCACATCCTCTCCAAATGGGACGACCTAGCTCGACACACCCTCTTCATGCAAGCCGGAGGAGACGAGTACCCAGGCTTCCCTGAAATCCTCCAGCGCATGGAGCCCTCCTTCTCACCATCGGAAACCGGCATGCTCAATCTCGGCTCCGTAGACATTTGGGACTGTAAAGCCTGCACACACGCATCCTGGCACGACTTCTCCGGCCTCTTACCTCAAACCTACGCCCTCGCGAACCGCAATCATGCAGAATGTGAATGGCTTCTCATGTCCTCTCAAGCACAATTCATCGCATCTGCGGCCAGGATCCGTGGTGCGGGGGCAGGGAGTTTATAGGCGCTGGTTGAGGCTAGGAGTTGGGCGCATCAGGAATCTTATTTGAGTGCGACGAGGACGAATTCTGGGGACTCTCGATGAATGATCCTGTTGTGGGGGGTTTCGGTGGCGAGGTCTTGGATGGGGATTATGCAGTGTTCGGGTTTGGAGGTTGTGGGGAGGTGTTCTGGTTTGGTTAGTGGGACGAGGAGGGATGTTGAGCCGGGGGATTGTCAGTGTCTTGATTGATTCCTGGATTGCAAGTATGAGATGGGAGGTGGGGCGTGGCGAGAATTGGACTTGAGGAAATATTGGTGTGCGCGAATAGATAGAAGAAAGCATAGATTGCAGGGAAGGGAAGGGAAGGGAAGGAAGAAAACTTGATCTTTCATTCTTCTCATTATGCATTACTCTTCATTCCCTTCATAGATTGGCTTGTTCTTGTTCTGTAATACTGTTTTGTAAGCCCTGCTCCCACGTCCCCTTCATCTCCATACTAACACATTGTTCAACACCCAAAACACCTCATCGCCACGATCCCCATTCACAAAAACACCATACCAGCAGCCAACCCCACCACACCAGCCATCCCCCCAAGCGCATTCTTGGCAGCAGGATTCCCAGACTGTGTCTCAACCGGAGCCGAGGAAGAGGCACCAGAAGAACCAGTCGTTGCCATCGAAACCGTAGCAGACGACGTCATCGTTATCGTAAGATTCCCCGAACTATTCGTGATAGGTCCCGGAAGAGCATAGCTAGTAGTGCTTTGGCCACAAACCGGAGTCGAAGCAGGTTCGTTGCTCAGGTTCGTGTCTGTTTGGATTGAGAATACCAGGTCGGATTCTGGGACGCAGGCGAGGGTTGTTGTGGAGCCGGAGATGGTGGCGGTGGTGCTGGTGAGGGCACTGCTGTTTACTGTGACTGAGGGGAGCATTGGGGAGAGGGTTTGTGGGTTGATGGGGGTGGTGGTGGTGGTGGTTTCTTGAGCTGTGGCGAGGGCGGCTAGGGAGAAGGAGAGGGTGAGGAGGTGGAGCATGGTGTTAGTGTGGAATTGAGCGCACTTTCACCGAAGGCTTGTTGTATCTTCGTCCGGGATGAGATGGGGGGGAGAATTCTGATGAAGTGCAGTTGTTTAAGCGGGCGTTGGCTGTTGCCTGGAATTCGGGACACCACTTTTTCTTTCAACCTTCCAGAACAATGCAGGGAAGCTGGTATTGAAGTCGGAAGTCTTGCAAGAAATCACATTTATTAAGGACAACCGCGGTGCTTTAAAGAACCGATGTCAATGCAGATCAGATCAGCTGTCTGCAACGTGAAACACGCTTTCACAGAGACGCTGACGACTGACGACGTTCTCAGGTGGCGGGGTTCTGAAAAGAGCTGGCTCCTTGGGTCTACTCCGCTGTGGCATTATTGGCTCGCAGATCAGCGCAGTCTCAAGATGGCCCTACACAAACAAAGCTATGTTTCGAAGCTCACTGAATGGTTGGAGGAAGGTGGTAAGGGTTGTCACAGTGGTCTGCACACTCGTGATCGGTGTCGCCGTCAGACGTTGGCCTGAGGCGGCGACCCTTGCATGAGGGCGTTCTCGCAGTATCATTCGTCGAGTGCAGGTGAAATGTCGTGTCACGATGTCAGGCGACGAGAAGCGGGTGAGGCGCCGATATATATTCTATTTTCTCGTCGGAAGGACGAGCCGGTGTGAGTAGGGAGCAAGAACAATAGCAGAGCCTCAACTTGCCCTCAAGTCCGCTGGACCAGCTCCGCACCAGCCGATGCTTGTCGATAACAAAACGTACCTGCAGATTGCTCGCAGTTTTTGGGCCCAATAATGAAGTTGATTTCAAGGGTATGATACAGGCCAGAAAAGTGCATTGTGAAGACTCACTGCGCCTTCATCCGGCTCGCATTTCCGTCAACCCACTAACTACTACTGCCTTGGTTGGAGGCCAGGAAAGACGCACTTCTTACGGCAATAAGAAATATCGCAAGACAGTTGACCAGGATCTTCTCCGGCTTCCATGTGCGATGCAGATCACTTGCTCGATACGGTATTGCCATCATGCTTGCATCGTGAATGCAAAACGTTATGGAATGGCGAGAAAGCGGAAACATTATGTAACAAGTAGAAGAACATCAGATGCTCTTCCGCCCGACCCTACGCGCGAGAACATTCATATCTTGTCGTTTCGTCCACGCTCGACGCAGCCATCGGCTCAGCTCTCGTTTTCTCACTGATAAGACCGGGCGAGATCCGCCACGGCCAACGATTGCAACTTTTTGACCCGACGCCGATCGCTGCAGACCAGCACAATTTTTGCCTGGCACACACGTGGGCTTGTTTTTGACCTCTAGAGAGGAGAATAAGCATAAACATGTGTTGAGCACAATAGTCTGGGCACTGCGAGCAGCATCGGAATTGAAGAGCGGGAGGATTGCAGCACGAGTACCACTCATCAAGACCGCCACTTCGACCTTCCAGTCGCACCACACGAAAACAATCATCATGTCCGCGACACCAATGGCCCTCCGCTTGAGAGCGCAGTGGCTCGCAACACGACAGCCGCTCTCCTCCAGATGTCTGCTGCTGAACAGACCATCCTCTCGCACGCCACCACTCGCTCAACCTCTGCACATCCGATATCAGCACACCCCCGCCGCAGCGACGCGAGGATTTTATTCCAACTCCAATGCCGACCCCGACGTCAACGCATTCGCCGTCCCAGTCCACGATGCCTCCATTTTCGCTCCCCTCGATACATTCCCCCGCCGCCACATTGGCCCAACCGCCCAGAGTGCAGAGGACATGCTCCGCGCTCTCCATCCTCCAGTGAAGAACTTGGATGACTTCGTGAGTCAGGTGCTTCCTCCCTCAATCCTCTCGCAGCGGAGCTTGAACATCGAAGGCCCAGTCCCAGAATCGGGATCTGTGCCCACCACCGAAGGCGGCTACTCAGAAAGCCAGTTGCTGGCCAGACTTCGCCAGATTGCCAGCGAGAACAAAGTCTACAAGAGCTATATCGGTTGTGGATATGCGGGAACACGAGTGCCTGAGGTCATCAAGCGCAACATCCTCGAGAACCCAGCATGGTATACTAGCTACACCCCATACCAGCCAGAGATCTCTCAAGGCCGCTTGGAGTCTCTGCTGAACTTCCAGACCATGGTCACCGATTTGACGGGCCTTGCCATTGCCAATGCCTCGCTTCTTGACGAGCCTACTGCCGCTGCAGAGGCCATGACTTTGGCAGTCAACTCCCTGCCCATTGCTCGAGCAAAGCGCCCCAAAAAGGTCTGGTTGGTCTCGCATCTCTGTCACCCGCAGACCATCGCTGTTCTGGAGAGTCGAGCTCAAGCTTTCAACATCACAATTGAGGTGGCCGATATTCTTGCAGAAAACGGCAAGCGCATCGACGAGCTGGCCGACGACTTGATCGGTGTTCAAGCACAATACCCAGACACTCTTGGTGGAGTTGAAGACTTTCGAGCAATCGCAGACAAGGTGCACAAGGTGCAGGGCACATTCGCTGTAGGCACAGATCTGCTTGCCCTTACCTTGCTCACGCCGCCTGGTGAGTTCGGCGCCGACGTCGCTTTTGGCAACGCTCAACGATTTGGCGTGCCATTTGGCTTCGGTGGCCCTCACGCAGCCTTCTTTGCCGTCAGCGAGAAGCATAAAAGAAAGATTCCCGGCCGTCTGATTGGCCTTTCAAAGGATCGCCTTGGTAACAATGCCGCTCGCCTAGCATTGCAGACCCGAGAGCAGCACATTCGACGTGAAAAGGCTACGAGCAATGTCTGCACCGCTCAAGCTCTGCTCGCCAACATGAGCGCCATGTATGCCATCTACCACGGCCCACATGGTCTTAAGCAGATCGCAGAGAAGATCGCAAAGATGGCTCAAGTTCTAGCCAAGGGCCTTGAGAGCGGTGGCTTGGAAGTCCGACAGCCAGTCGCTTTCGATACTGTCGTTGTCAAGAAGCATGATGCACCTGGATTCGCTGCAAAGTCTGCTGCTAACTTCCTAACCAACTTCCGAGTCATCGACGATGAGCACATTGGCATCACCATCGATGAGACTGTCGGCAAGAAGCAGATCGATGAGATCTTCAGAGCTTTTACCACCGATGTCATCGATGTCGAGAAACTGGCGCAGCAAGTCGAGACTAATGAGAGCGTGCCAGAATCGCTCAAGCGTACTTCACCTTTCCTCGAACATCCAGTATTCAACTCCTACCACTCCGAAACCGAGCTTCTGCGATATATGCATCATCTCCAATCCAAAGATCTATCGCTTGTCCACTCCATGATCCCACTTGGATCATGCACAATGAAGCTCAATGCGACCACCGAGATGCTTCCCATCACTTGGCCAGAATTTGCAAACATTCATCCTTTCGCACCCAACGATCAGACCCAGGGATACCGCCAGATGATAAAGGAGCTCGAAGCCGACCTTGCCAACATCACCGGTTTCCACTCAGTCTCCCTCCAGCCCAATTCTGGAGCTCAGGGTGAGTTTACTGGTCTACGTGTGATCAAAAAGTACTTGGAACAGCAGGCAGGGAAGAAGCGCGACATCTGCTTGATCCCTGTGTCCGCCCATGGCACTAACCCGGCTTCTGCAGCCATGTCTGGCATGCGCGTCGTCACTATCAAATGTGATAGCAGCACTGGCAATCTGGACATGCAAGATCTGGAATCAAAGTGCAAGAAGTACAAGGACGAACTAGGCGCGATCATGATCACTTACCCGTCCACTTTCGGTGTGTTTGAACCGGCCGTCAAGGATGCTTGTGATATTGTGCACAAATATGGTGGCCAGGTCTATATGGACGGTGCCAACATGAATGCTCAGATCGGTCTCTGCTCGCCGGGTGAGATTGGCGCAGATGTCTGCCATCTCAATTTGCACAAGACCTTCTGTATTCCCCATGGCGGTGGTGGACCTGGTGTCGGACCTATTGGTGTCGCAGAGCACCTTTCTCCATTCCTACCAGGTCATCCTCTTGTTTCTGATGTTGGCGGTGAGAAGGGTATTGCACCAGTCTCTGGCGCTCCTTGGGGATCGGCTAGCATTCTCCCCATCAGCTGGGCATACATTAAGATGATGGGTGCCCGGGGCCTGACGCATGCTACCAAGATCACTCTGCTCAACGCAAACTACATCCAGTCTCGTCTGAAGCCCTACTATCCAATCTTGTACACCAACGAGAACGAGCGCTGTGCACACGAATTCATCCTGGACGTTCGAGGCTTCAAGGAGAGTGCCGGTATTGAAGCCATCGATATCGCAAAGCGCCTTCAGGATTATGGTTTCCACGCACCGACAATGTCGTGGCCTGTCGCGAACACATTGATGATTGAGCCTACCGAGTCGGAGTCGAAGAATGAGCTTGACCGCTTTTGTGACGCTCTGATCTCCATTCGCGAAGAGATTGCTGAGATCGAGAGCGGCAAGCAGCCAAGGGACAAGAATGTGCTCAAGATGTCGCCACACAGCCAAAAGGACCTCATCATTGGCGAGTGGGACCGTCCCTACACCCGCGAGCAGGCCGCCTATCCTCTCGAGTGGCTCAAGGAAAAGAAGTTCTGGCCTAGCGTGACCAGACTCGATGATGCTTATGGCGATATGAACCTCTTCTGCAGGTGAGTCTGATTTGTTGAGCTTAATGTGTTGTGGACCATTGATAGCTGACTGCGTTCTAGCTGCGCTCCTGTCGAGAGCGTGGACGATCTTCCAGGCTCCTAGATGCCTACAGAACGCGCTCACGGATATGATCATTTACAGGCCGCGCGGAAGGCTGCTTTACGGCTACGGAGTAGCTGCACTTCAACATGCCAGAATTTCAACACAAGATTACTGCAGCGTTCGAGCGAGGCGTACGGGAATCAACCCCTGCATTTAACATGACCTGCGGAGAACTACGGCATAGGACGGCTTGGGACTTTACAGTAGATGGGAGGGTAACGTCGTAATGAGAATCATACCACGCTGACCTTCAATCCAAGTTTCAATCGCCCTGTTGAACTAACTTATAACATGTAGTGTTTTGACATGTTTCTCGACGAGTGCAGATGGACTAATGACAGCTCCAGTACTACAGGGTGTATTATGCATTCGCGAAGCCGGTTGGAGAAGTTGGAAGTAGCAAACGTGAGCCTAGCGATATCTTGTCGTACACCAGGAATTGATTCTGACGCTTTGCCGACTCAGCCATGGAACTAGAATGATTGTCGATATCGCTGGCGTTTCCGAGGATATGTAAAGGTCAGTGACTACAGCCTGCTCAATTCAGCGTGTTGGGGGAAGTTTTGGTCGTTCTTGCCTTTCGTGGAGCGGCTGCCTGCATGTGCAAGTGGGTCCTGACAGCTTTGGAACTGCCGCGCCGTTTTGTTCTTCGCTCGTCACCTCCAGCTCAAACATCAATTTTCTACCTTCAGTGCGATGGCAAAACGCAAGCCTCGTCACGGCGCGCGTAGAGCTATGGACGATCAACAGGGAAAGGGCGCTGCGGCCGCCGCGGTCTTTTATACGGCGGAGTTGCTGGAGCACATTCTCAAGTTTCTATCGATGAAGGACCTGCTGCTGGATCAACGCGTTTGCAAGCAATGGCGGGACGTGATCAAGCAATCGCCAGAGCTCCAACAGAATCTCTTCTTCCGGCCAAGAGAAGCGCGAGTTTACTGGCTCTGCCGTTCTCAAGACGCGCTGCATATGATCAGCCAAATCACCAACAACTACGCCCCTGCTGAAGATGAGCTGGTGTTCCCGTCCGGCAAGCTGAATCCACCAATGTTTTCCATTCCGAAGATGGACAATTACGGCGCCGTGCTTGCTGCAGCACAGGGCGGGTTCGAGAGCTTTGAATTTCGATTTCCGAAAACCTTTCGCAGCTATGCGCACATCCGGGGGGTTCATGGCGTCGAATGCTCATAAGCCAGCCACCGATTCGGAACTGGTCTTATGAGGTACAATTCGCTAGCGGAAATAATGGAGACCAGGGACATGAAAGCACTTGAGGACACTACTGTGTATGCTGTGACGGAACAGCTTGTCCACATGGCGACCAAACACAATGACGGCATTCGGAGCCACTGCTTCTGGATCGATGGAATGTTGTTTGCTTGTCGTGAAGAATTGAAGGTGAATGCTAATCTCGAAAAGGGCTGGGAAGAAACATATTCGAGCAGAGCGAGGAGATGGATCTGGCTGGCCGAGAAGGGGAGAGGGATTCGCCGGCAGCGACCATGCCGCCATCAAGTTCAAGATGATGCTGGTGGGTCGCTACAGTAGCCTTGAGAAGGACCTGCCAAGGTTTGCGGAGGCAGCGAAGGCGATGAAGCAGAACAATGCCAGATCGAACTCCCAAGGAGACGAGGAGAGAGGAGGTGGTCGTGGTGATGTATAACTGCCGTGTCTCCAGCCTCAAGCTCACAGCAAGTGCTGTACGTTACGGCATCGAAGAAGAGACGCTCGAGCAAGTCACAGATGTCTCAACAGACCAGGGAGGGCCTGGTTGTTCCCCGGATATCCGGACAATGGTTGTCATGGTTCATGGAGAGCTCATTCGACTGTCTACTGCCAGACCCATTCTCGGCGTGCCAGCTACCTGCGAGGTTTCCCGCAGCTGAGGGTCAACATGATCGATCTAGACGGAAGGGAAAAGGCGTCATCATCGGTACACCGCCAAGCTGGCCGTTCTTCCTATTCCACGCAAGCCAAGCGAAGAGTGGCCCGGCCCGCGGGGGTCGCCAGAAGCACGCAAAAAGTTAGAGGCATGAATGATCAACGCCATCCGGACTCGGCATTGCGCTTCCCTTTGTCCAACGCGGATGGCGATTCTGGCGAGGCAGATGGCATGCTCAGCAGGGACGCGTGAAGAGAGAAGTGCAGCAACAAGGATAGTGCATGGTTGACCATTGACCGAAGCGCGGTGAGCGCTGAGTGACTTATTACGATCGAGATATTTCGCGCAAATAGGTGGCAAGTCCGTGGATAAGCGTGCACGGCGAAAAGCAAGAGCTTGGAAGCATCACGGCGCATCATTTGACCAACATCTGCATCTGCCTCTGTCCCCCCCGTCCCAGTGCAGTCCCACGCGCAGTGTGACTTATTACTACATCCTCTCTCTCACCCGACTCCCACTGCCACTGCTCCTCGTTGTCTCGTGTCGTAGCTCTGCGCTCCAACACCCAGCACGTCGTTTCTGTGCATACCAAATGTAAGCCGATAAGTCCTATCAGGGCGTGCACGATCTCTTATCAGAGGCTGCATGGCATGCATGAACCACTTGGCACCGTGCAGCGAGCATCTCTGGCACAACGACGCATCGGAGCGGTCTGAGGCTAGCTAGGAAGCACTGTGGCATTCATGGATAAAGACATGCTGCAAACCGCTGACGACGCTTCCCGCTCCGTTCACAGCCTCACACTGCTAGCGTCGCCGTCGCCATTGTCTCGCTCGCTCGCATTGGTACCACTGTTCTCCTCCAAATTCTCCTCCAAACTCCGCTGCGCAAGCATGCGGGAGCATTACTGACCGACAACGCAGTTCCTTTTCCTTCTCGTATACCTTTGAGCGAGTCCGCCGAAAATGTCGCAACCGAGCCTTCCACCGCGCCCTCAGCGGAATAATGCATCAGCAACCAAGAATGACACTCCTCTCGTTCCACCCCGACCAGTTCGCAAGACCGATCCTTCGCCAGATCGTGAAGGCGCCACTCGCTCGCCCTTCAACCTGCCTCCGACGTCTTTGAGCAATAAGCCCCAGGTCACGAAGCGTACCAGCCAAGAGCTTCCACGCAGGCCTCCAAGTGTATCTCTGCCCACTTTGGGCCAGGAAGGAGCAGAATACTCCAGCTTTGACGAGCTGCCAGCAGAGGCGCATGGAGTCTCCGCCTCCGAGGAGCCTGGCGAACAGACCAGAAATGTGGCAGTGGACCTTCCCATGTACCAGCCCAAGGCTTCCGTGCCCCAGGCGACTGCCACGAAGAACATCCAGAAGATCAGGGACACTGACTCAACGCAGGCCGCGTTGGCGGGTATTGGCAGGTCTAAGCCCGCAGACGATGTCCACAAGCTCCCACCTGGAGATGCGTCCCCATCCGGCGTGGCTCGCGTGACCAGCAATATCAAGCGTGCGCCTTCAGCGGAACCGCCGAATGTTCTTCGCACCAAGGCAAGCTTTAATCGCTCAACTTCGAGTCTGCAGCCGCTCGATCGCACGACATCCCGTCCTGGTAGTCTCTTCGGCGGCGATGATCACGAGCACGGCATCCCTGTCATTGGCCAGCAGGTTCCATTGTTGGCCATGGCCGGTGATGTGCAAGCTCCCACACCATCCGGAGGCTCATCCGTACATTCTCCAGGCATTGGTTTCTTCAATGACGGCTCTGTCCGCTCTCACCAAAGGAAACGGAGCTCGAGGCAGGAATTTGGCCCGCCTGACAGCTATGGAATCCGCCATGACGCTGATCATGCGGATCAGTTCGAAAGAGAATGGGTCCGAAAACATCCAGAAGAGGCGGCCAAGGAAGGCTACCATCTGCATCTGCCGAAGCCAGAGTCGGCTTTGAGCAGTGAACAGCTCAACAGGATCGTCCGTGAGAGTGATTCAGGTAAGCAGCGCTCTGTCGATAGCGTGACACATATGGTGCTGATAGAAGCTCAGGCGCAGGTGTGAGTCCGGGCACTCCTGGCGAAGACGAAGCCATGGAGGAGTATCTCTCGCGCATGTCGTCGCCAAACGTCCCACTCGCGCAGCGCAAGAAACGCGCATCCAGTGGCTCAGTCCCGCCAGAATCGCCGTTGCGCAAGAATTTCTCGAACCGCCTGCACCCAAGCGATGCTGCTGCGGTGGAAGATTCGCCAAAACGTGCCAGCAAGAGCTACCACTACGAATCTGACACCGATCATGAGCACGAACACTACGATGGCACTCCGATTTTGGCCGCTGATGAGCTCATGAAACGCCCGAGCAGCGCATTCATGCACGCCGCCGTTGTGCCTGAGCCCCACGCTGATGACGACTACTACGATAGCGACCACGCGCGAAGCCGCAGAAGAAGTATGGACACTAGCCGACCATCTAGCAGACCCAGTAGTGTTCACGGGAACCTGCAGGGCTATGCAGGTGGCTCTCTGCATAGATTCATTTCTCGGGAAGAAGAGCATCACTCTGGCGTTGGCACACCTTTAGCAGAAATCGAAGAATACGAACCACTGTTCCCGGAGGGCGAGGACGGCAAGAAGGCACAGCAAAAGAAGACGAAGGCGAGACCAGATCTCGCTGCTATGCACCACTTCCCAAGCCAGGATGTATGGGAAGATACTCCTTCCTCACTACAATATTCTGCTACCGTTTCGACTCCCGAGCTTGAGCGGCAGCAAGAAGCGTTGGAAGCCGAGAAGGCCGCTGTATCGACCGCCTCAACGTTTGAGACGCCGGAACAAGAAACAGCTCGGAGAGCCGCCAATGATGCAGACATGACAAGCGACAAGAAGACATACATCAAGCCGCATTTTAAACCAGGAGTCTTGGAGGATCACCGCCCGACCGCCCACCGCTTTCCAAGCTCGGACGTCTGGGAAGACACGCCGAGCAGCATGTACGCCACCACGACCGTCAGCACACCGGAGGAAGAGGAAAGTCAAGCACGTGCTCCTGCTGCACGCCCTTCAATTCCAGCTCGGCCTGCGAAGAACTCACGTCTTGCTCAAGAGGTACCCGTTGACGAGCAAGAGACGAGCCCGACCAAGACCAGGGCGCCAAGCATTCCGGACAAGCCTAAACCATCGATACCAGCCAGACCACAGCGCACATCTCGCTCTGAGCAGGAAGGAGCACCTCTCGATCAGTCAACATCTGCAGGCGGTGATGAAGCTATCAAGTCACCGCCTGCCCCCAAGGCTAAGCCTGCCGTTCCAGCAAGACCTACTGGCTCCAAGATCGCTGCGCTGCAATCGGGCTTCATGAATGATTTGAACAACCGTCTCAAGCTTGGTCCGCAAGGTCCGCCTCCAAAGAAAGACGAGGTCGCAGTGGAGGAAGACTCGTCGACAGAGAAGCAGCCATTGGCAGATGCTCGCAAGACTCGTGCTCGTGGTCCACCAAGACGCAAGCCAGCTGCTTCTCCAGCTGCAGACCGCAAGTCATCCCTGACCTTCGCCATGTCGCCATTAATCACTTGCTGGACCATCGATGAGACTGATGAGCTCAAGGTGCAAACCGAAAACAAGGAGAACAAAGACCCAAATGCTACTGAGGTCGAGAAAGCAATTGAGGAGAACGAGAAAGTGAACACCGATTCGGCAGCTCCTGCTGAGGAGGGGGATCATTCTGCTGCTCAGGCCGCCGCCTCCGAAATTGCCAAATCGCCTGATCCAATTGAAGCCGCCGGCCGACACTCCAATGCTGCAGCGGACCTACAGGCTGCTCTTGCCGAAGCCGGAGCCGGCCCAGCACCATCATTATCTCTTGGTGGTCCAGAGCTGAGCAATGCCACTTTACCCTCAACAGCACAAGTCGACAAAGACGAAGATGTCCAGACAGGCGAGACCGAAATCTCAACGATCCAGTCCCCGTCGTCGGGGAATGAAGAACATGTTACTGTCTTGCAAGGCGCCAAGGCTGTCGAAGATGGGGATGGCGATGTCGTTGAAAAGCATGCGCAAGAGGCTTCATAGCCAAGTAGAAAACAGTTTCTATTATTCGTATACCGAAAAAAGTTTGGAGTTTAATCTATATTTTTTTGTTTATCATGTCTTCTTCTTTTTTTGAGAATGGAAGGATAGTGAGTTGGCCTCTCCTCTCTCTCTCTATCTCTACGTCTACTTTTACGAGATTTTTTTTAGTAGAGGGGAACTTGGAAGGTATATAGAATTTAAGGGAGCTCATGCCGGCTTCAATCATGTAGTTGCCGGAATATCAAGCCGCATCAGCACATGCACGGCGTACTGTGGTGAAAGTAGGATCAGTGTGGGCAGGCACGTAGATGTCATTTCCAGAGGACGGAGGGTTCTAATATTGCGGAAGGCAGCCTTGGCAGCCCCCAGAAGAGGCTCGTGATGGACTCTGAGATGTATTCTAGCGTGTCCTCCATGTGCGACTTGGCTGGCGAGGGTCGCTAATATCCCACCTGCCGCGCTCACCAGTGAAACATGCACTTGTAGTTCAGGATTCTCGCACCCAACCGGTCGTACTCCAGAGGTGAGATCCAGCTGTCGTTGGTTGCTCTCAGCTTGCCAAAGACACTTGCTCCTTTCCATACGATCACCGAAGGATCCAGTTCTCTTGGCGGTGGAGCGACCAGGATCTCCTTCGGGTACTGGGGCATACGACCACGAAGCTGCAGTTCCAAGTAGTTCTGCAAATATGGGGTCTTCGATGCACCGCCGATCAACATGATACTGCCCAGCAGATCACGCTTTTTCCTTTCATCGACCTGGCCGTTTGGCAGCTCGCTTGCGCGTTCAATTGACCTGATAATGGCCTCGTCGAGTGGCATGACGGGAACGATCCGCTCTTTGCTGTCGTCCTCAGGCACGGCCGCGCTGTCGCCAAAGCCTTCTCCATTGGCGTTGTCGTCGTTATCATTTGGCATTGGTGTGCCAGCAGGCGGTGGAGATCCGGCAATCGATGACTTTGGCGTGCCTTCATTGTCGCCGTTGAGATAGCTGGGAATACCGAGAGGCCGCTGCTTTTGTGGGGTAGGCTGTGCAATTGGCGTCCCAAGTAGACGTGCGGGCTCGCTAGACGGCGCCACATTGGCAGACGGAATCGTCTTTGCATAGGTGCGGACATCTTCCTGGGCCCTCGAATCTGGGTCATTCCGCTTGCCATCGTACAAGTCCACGGAAGCCGGTATGAGTTGTCTGCGTCCGGCCAACTTTTCGGAGACGTCAAAGATGGCGGGTCGGAAAAAGCCCATTGGCGCAAGCATCCCTTCGTCGTATATCTTGAATTGATACCTCCTCGTCTGCTGGTCAAATGCTCGAAGGTGAAAGTCAAATAGCTGCACTGTGATGTTCTCGTCGCTCATGGTCGTGTACTTTTCCTTGAGCTCCTCAGCAAGCAGGAAGTCGTGCCGCCGCATGAGGTTGAAGTCACTGTAGTTGAATTTGTCGAACAGCATCATCTTTACGAAGGTTTCGGTCACATCGTAACCGCCGTACTTCATGTTGATGCGCGACTCTTCGATGCACATGCCGTCTTCGACGCAGCATACTGTTGTCTTCTGCGCGCCCATATCAACCATACAGGCCGTACTGAAGCCGGCTCCGAAGGTTGCTGCAAGTGACTCCTGCATGAAGCATACGCGTCCGAAATTGAAGTCGATCATCAGCTCGCGGAGTACGGTGGCGACATTCACTTTCTCATAAAGATCTGGAATGAGAAAGACGCAGGAATACTGATTCCAGTCCTTCTTATGGACCAGTCCAAGTTCCGTCTTGATACTCTCTTCCAAGATGCGGAAGAAGTCTCGTTCAAGCATATTGCGACTCTTGTAGTCCTTTTCATTGAGAGTTCCATTACGCATTGGCCAGTGGAGATGATATTTGGGTCGCGAGTTCTCTGGTATTCGTAGAGCTGATGCCCCGACAATGTAGTCTGGTGCATTGTTGGTCTCAGTCCAGTCTATTTCAACTGGATCATTGTGCTTGGAGATCACATCTGGCGGTGTAGTGCTGTTCCATTTGGTTACAAGCTCGCGGGAATTGGGCAGGACACGGCGCTTGTTGTGCCGTCTCGCTGTCTTGAACTGTGCAGCCATGCCATCGTATTCTTTCGCAAACTAAAACAAGTCAGTGAATTCACAATCACTTCTTTGAGATGACTCACTTCTTCTCCGAACCACTCTTCAGAGGGCGCATCGTCGTCCAGCTTGATACGCTTCGGCACTGGTTCAGAGTCTTCTGCTTCGGTGCGGTCAGCTTTTCGAGCGATTACCATTGGCACGGTCTTTGGCAGGGCATCGGTGGCAAGTCCGAGGCGCAAGTTTTGGCTGCCGACGTGGATCACAATTGTCTTCTCGCCATAATTCTCGCCGTAGATGTCGTCCATGGCCACATCGTCATCCAAGGTTGGCTCGACATCCGGGTAGACTCCGGCTTGCTCGCCATTTTGTGCGCGCGCTCGGTCAAGGTCGACAGCCGCTTTCTTTCGTCTGTCCAGCGCCGCTTCTTGCTGTAATCGCAATGCCAGTACTTGGTCGTCACGCTTTAAGAATTCACTGTAAAAGGCAATAGCGGTCAGTCATAGTCGCGCAATGGCAATGGGCGTAGTCGAGGGATGGTTTGGCCGATGGATTGGAGTCGGCGCAGTACCTCTTCACGTATTGCACGTTGAGCGCATAGAGGTCCTTCTTCCCCTTCCTCAGGCCATCCAAGATCTTGCGGCCGACCATGGTGGATGCGCTGGTGGTGTTCACATGCACAGGCAGGGATTGGACGTTGACGGCAGAGATGTGTGTGCGGAAGTGATGGTTGTTGCAGAAGCCGCGACTCACGTGTAGTAGTTTTTCTGGTTGATCATGTTGATTTGCGGCCACGTCGAAAAGCCCATATTGTTGTCCGTGCGCGCCAGCCCTACTCCAATGCTTAGTATGCACGCTCCCATTTCAAGCTGCGAGGCGTTTGCACTGGAGATGGCGGTGAAAAGGCGTGCGGCCGGCATGATGCATGGGGCGAGTTGCGCTCTGGTGATGGCGGATGCCGGCCTCGCATGATGGATGCTCTTACCTTCTTCTCTCAAGAGCGCGCGCCCTGATTTCTTGCCGACCATCGTGACCGATGCCTCCTGTGTTCTGCAACCGGGCAAGGCTTGCGATGTGTGGCCGCTCTGGGGTCGGTGTCGTGTTCAATGTGTTGTTTCGCGGTGAGCCCAAATCCTGTTCAGTCGCGACTGATAATGATATCACAAGATGGCATCTCGGAAGTGAAGGCAGCTGTTCGCAGCCGCCGCCGCCGCCGTTGTGATGTTTGCCCACTGCGCCAGAATGGGAGCTGGACCGTGCCCGCAATGGTGGGGTTGCGTTGCCAGCAACTCTTCTCTTCTCGGCGACGTGAAGCTCTGCTGCTGCCCCAAGGAAGACTCACAACTACAACTGCTGCTCGACACAGCACATCCATCTTGGTCCTCGCAGTCACATCCTCCATCCCCACCAACGGATCATCTTCATCCCCATCAACATGGCCGGTTCGTGCCACCCAGCCCCTCCCGGTCCGCCGCTCGAGCTCCGTGTTATGACTGACCTCCACAATTGCAGATTTCCAGGGCATTGCGAGTATGCTGCGTCGAACAGTCTCCTCCGCGATCGCTTCATTCTAACACATGTGTAGAGCAATTCGTCGAGTTCTACTACAAGGCCTTCGACTCCGACCGTACTTCGCTCGCCTCGCTATACGTCAGTCCCAACCAGCCACGCATGGAAGCAAGAGGCCCACTGACAGTGCGCCCACAGAATGAGAAGTCCATGTTGACTTTCGAGGCTTCGGCACATCAAGGCGCTCAAAACATCGTCCAGAAGCTCATCGTAGGCATATTCTATACCACGTCGGCTTGGCTTACATCTGACTTGATCTTGCTAGGACCTCCCATTCTCCAAGATCGAGCACCAAGTCGCGACATTTGATGCGCAACCCAGCAGCGAGAGCGGAGGCATTCTAGTGGTTGTTAGCGGTGCGCTATTGGTATGATACAAGCGAAGCATCATAATCGATGAAGCCGAGGGCATTGACACTCTACCAGGTCGAGGAAGAGCGACGACCGATGAGCTATGTTCAGACCTTCCAGCTTCTGCCGAACGGCTCCGGAAGCTACTTCATCTTCAATGATGTCTTCAGGCTGGTCTACCCAGCGGCCTAGGTGGCTCCACAAGCGCTGCCAGAGCCCACGACACCGCCAACGCCTTCGATGAGAGCCAACACACCACCAACTACAAACTCGAGTCCGGAGGTTCAGGCGGCTGTCAGAGAATTGATTGGAGAACACGAGATGGAGAAGATGGAGAAGCTAGGTTATGGCTATTGAGAGACGCTGCGAGTATAACGCACTGTGGGTGGCATTTCCAAGGAGTTCGGTAATACTCTTGGTTATCGATCGACACGGAAAAGAACTGCATTCCGGCTGAGGCTCGGATGAATGTGCTATTTGAATGACTTGTGCGAAAATGCATCACATTACCACAAACTTGGTTGGCCGCCCAGACTAATCGACAGGGAGCACAGGTTGTTCTTGAGTCCTGGACACGTAAACGTCAAAGTGTCCAGTTCTCAGAATGTCACATACTCTTCAAGACGGCGGCGACAAGCATTCATCCAACGGCCTCACAATCGCCAGGAAGGTCTATAGCGGTACTTTCTGGCGCAAGCGTAGCATTACTTCTACAAATTGTGACGTGGTATGGGACAACTACTAGCAGCCTGATTGGCAGCTTCGAGTTGGGTACATGAGACAGGCCCTCTGCCCTCTGACTGCGAAATCTCGCCATGTTCTTCGTTCACCTGTGACTCAGACTTGACATGTATAGAAGCGGGCTGACGCTGTGGTTACTCAATCGCTCTGACGAAATGTTGCCAAGGTTGATTACCCACTGAAGCGGTTCCGTCACATACAGCGTCTGAGCACTTCTCAGTGAATGCGAATCTTGCGGTCCGTTTGGTTGGGAACATCTCGCTCGTCACAACACATGAAAACCAGTATCATATTGTTGAGTTGAGCGCTTTCACTCCGAAGTGTTGAAACGCTGTATCCATGATGTTGTATGGTGACCGTGCCACGTGGGCCGAGTAGAATAGACCCTGGCGCGGCTCAATTGGGAAAGGCCAGCTGGGTCGGTCGGTCGTCGCAACAGCAGCAGCAGCGCTTCGATAGTCGTCGCAAGCGCACGCGCATTCTAGGCACTTGCTTTCCACAGAGCACAACATACGAACACAGCCATCCATCCATCATCCTCCCGCCACAGTCAGTCGACCGACATACGCATCTCGGACTCCGACTATAAGACCTCCACACCTCGCCAAACCCAATTGTCAGCCACTCTCTGAAACAGCTGTTGGTTGTCAACAACAGAGCTGAGCCATCACCAGCCGATCCAGCCATTTCACATATCCAAGGCATTGAGTTCTCATACCATACCGACAACATGACTCTCGCGGAGGAGTTCAGATCGAGAAACTTCAGTAAGTTCTGGGCATAAACAAGCAGCAGCGCACACTTCTCCGTGCTAACAATAGACTTACTCAGGTATATACGGCCAATGGTATGCGACATTCAGAATTGCCAATAAACTTGCGACCACATGTTGACACAAAACTTCAGGGCCGGCATAGTCTGCGTAGTGCTATGCTTTGCCCTAGGAATCGCCAACATCTTCAACTTTCACTGGGTCATTGTATTCAGTGTGATATGTCTGTAAGCCATTCCTTCCCTCACTTCCCTCTTGCAGGCTGCCATGACTTACCTCTCTCTACCAGTGTCTGTTCATTCATCATCATCTTCATCGAAGTCCCCTTCCTCCTCCGAATCTGCCCAACCTCGCCCAAATTCGACCAATTCATACGACGATTCGAGACGAACTACATGCGCGCCGCCATCTACGGAATCATGAGCGTCATACAATGGCTGAGCATCATCGCGAAAGTGACGAGTCTGATAGCCGCGGCAGTGGTGCTACTACTGGCCGCATTATGCTATGCGCTCGCTGCAGTCAAGGGACAAGAGTTCCAATCGAGCAAAACTCTCGGTGGACAGGGTGTTGCACAGATGATTGTCTAGGAGGGCGGGTACCATAATGTATGCTACAAGGACGACGTGGATCCGGGGGCACTCGTTCCTTCTGAGACCTGCGCCGATCATAAGCCCATGCACGAAGTCCCGCCTGGTGGTAGTACGCCAGCGCCTGGCATGGCTCCCGATGGCAAGCCTTTGGCTGGCTTACCACGCTACGAAGACGGGACGCAGGGATTTCAAGACATGTCCACACAAGCGGCTAGGGAAGCATAGTACGCCCTCGGCCGGAAAGAATCTTCATCTAAACGGAATAAGCTAAAGAAGTGGCTATGCTCAATCACGCGGAGAAAGGGTGGGTGAGGGTGAGCGAGGCGCGGGTTCACGAAAAAACTGTTGTGTATTTGTATTATGGGTAGATGACGTTCGGAGCATGACATGGATGTAATGAGAGAACAAAATGTGCCGGTCTCGAATTTCAGTAAGCTGTCCTTGGGACTGATCTCTCGTGTGACAATGATGCCAGCCAGCCAGCCAGAAATCAATCTTTCAGAATGTGCGATCAGCTATCCCGATGATTCCCGAAAATTGAGGGATTTCACTTTCATGTCACATGAAAGACCAACCCCAACACTTACAGCTCACAGCGAATCCATTTTTTCCGCTCTTCAACCTCACCACTTCATACCGAACGAACGAACCGCGAATTCAATCAAGTAGTGCACCCAGAAGAAGACGACACCACCCTCGCCACCACAATCATTCTAGAAAGCGATTACACTTACCTTATTAAGATAAAGTAGGTAGGTAGCAAACCCTCTAAGTCGCTATATCCGTACTATAGTAGAGATTATCGTAATTAGGCGCCTACTCGCGGAGAAGCGAGATTTCGAAGAGTATTCGGGCCTTAGTTTTTTTTTCGTAGAATTTTTAGGTTATAGTACGTAGTGCTAAAAAGGCGTTGAAAGTCTTAATAAGAGGGGGGGGGGGGAGATGATGATGAGGTGAAGTGAAAGTTCGATGGTTTCGTAGTGAGGTCTAGGCAGTGTACGGTGGGTGAGGAGCTCTAGGTTGTGAAGTGAAATCAATCATCAATCGTTCTGCAAGTCGATGTACACCGGAGCATGTACTGTAAATACGCTTGCCCGACTACTGCTACCAAATCTCTGACGAACAGCAGCGATTTCCCGGCCTCTTGACTGACCGTGGAGAATCTTGAGCGTCGGTACTTCGAAATACATTCCATTGTCGTCTGCACGGGGACACTCAAGATGTCAATAATGGCGCACGGGTTAGAATACAGCTGTCAGATTCCTCATGTCCGAAGCACGGAGAGTGTCCGGGCCAGTGCTCGTGAATGGTTCGACGCGGATGTCGCTGAGGAAGACGGGAGAAGAATTTCAATCATCTTGGGCGGTCGTTCGGGCTCACGACTCACGTGAGGCTGTCAAAAGGCAATCCTTCGGCTACGCTACGTGACAAGCGTTGCGTGGGCACTGATTCAGTCAGCCTCGGTGGATCTAGGTGCATTCGCGTGCCGCTGCTGCATGTGAGTGCTGTTATGTTAGTTGGATCTGCATAGGACCAGAGAATTACTATGGTGTTGACGGAATTTATGAAAGCTTGCGTCCGTCTCGTGTCCAAGAAGATGGATGTAGACCGCGGCAGTGGTTCGCATCCATCGATAAGCTGAACGAGGCAACAAGCACCAACCCTGCTCGTGTGCTGCGTTTCGTGAATCGTCGCAGTCGCAATGAGGAAAGTTCCCACGCCACGCCCGCTGCAAGGATTATTCTCGGAGCATATGTGCGGTGTCTCAGGTTCTACAAATCGATCTGTGTTGCCAGGCAACATCGCAAACGACCAGGGCAGGGTTCATCAGATATTTTGCGCGCCTGCATGATGATGAGATGCACAACGGTCTAGAAGCGTTTGGGGGCGCAATCAAACATCTGAGAATCACGAGCAAGTTGTCTTGGATAGTTGCGATTATTCATCATCAGCTGTGATGTGTAATCTTATTGTGTGGATTTGTCTCCATCGCAAGGACCAGTTTCGGCCGGGCATATGATATGACCAGCAGTTCATCTGCTTTTTATGATTCTCGGGAACGAAATGACTAGAATCTCTTCTGTCTGCCGAGCACGAGCGATCTCCGCACAGCCTCGCGATTCGATTCGTGTGATAACGCGGCACGGGAAGGTCTATTCTAGTGCTGCCCCGTCCCAGAGTGTCAAGGTCGTTGATCGTTCTGTATTCTAAGGCGCAAAACGGGCTCCAAGAATTTCTCGAGGCTGTGCTGTAGTGCCGGTGGTCAGCAGCGTGGACTCTACATACTGGAGGTAGCATGCTCTATATAGGAGTTTCACAGCAGCAATGGCTCGCTTGCGCACTCAACACCGAAAAGTGCAAGTCACAAGACAAGATGATTTTCACGAAGGATGGAGTTGGTGGCCGTTTGTCAGACCGAAGCTCCTGATCCCAACTCAAGCGGTTGCCGATCATCAACATCAGCGCCGCGCCTTACCCACCCAGGCGGGCCGTCCACAGACTTCGGTAGACAAACGCGACTACCGCACGCTTACGAAGACACGAAGAAGCATGGACGTTAACATCTTATTGTTAATATTACGAGAGCACGCCGTCCACCCTCTCGTAGGTCGCGTATTCTGAGGAGAGCGGAGTGAGGTCCTGAGACTCCAGCCATCGTGGTCGGGAACTCGAGAGATTCATTATCGGGACTTGTTTGTGGGGCTCTGGCGGCATGAATGGAGATGGCTCCAGGATCAGAAAGGCAGTGGCAGCAGATGGCATTCTCGATGGCTCGGCGCATGAAGGAAATGTGCTGTTGTGATGGTGGCAGCTGCCAAGTCGGGTCATCTGGGCCTGCACGAGATGCAAGATGCCTAAACGGTGTCATCGATTGTGCTCCAGTACTTTGGTAAGATTTAGGGATCCCAGATCTCTGTGAACGGTCGCCTCATGCCCGGGCATGACTATTCGTAGATCGCATCCAGTTATATGTAGATCGGTTCCCGATAACGGAGGAGGCCTAAGGCAAATTTGTTAGTCATCTCCTCCAAACTAGGGAAACCACCTTACCGTCGCTATTCTACCGCTATCTACCTTACCGTCGCTATTCTACCGCTATCTACCTTACCGTCGCTGTTCTACTACTATCTACCTTACTATCTAGCTATTCCGCCGCTATCTACTATATTAAGCCCTTCCGCTTAGTTATAGGCATAGCTAGAGGCCGAGTTGCCGCTATCTCCTTATAATCTAAGAAAGCGCTAGCTTTAAGAGATGCGTAGTAAGCGGCCGCGGCAGGTACGAGAGCCGAATCTAGATAACCTCGGAGGCCTTAAATTATAGGTAGAGCTCGTATATAGACCGGAGGATAGGGTAGGCTACTAATACTAGAATAGTATAGATCGCTAGTATTTAAAGCAGTTTCTTCTAGATTTCTAGGAAGATATAGCTTATAGCGAGCAGAATTAGTGCTAGCGCTGTATTAGGTACGAATATAAGGCTAGATACGATAGTCTCGATACCTAGTTGTCTAGTAAGCTAGATAATACGTTTAAGATACTAAACCTAATACTACCGTTCCTCGACGATTTGCTAGCGTAGTATATAGTAGGCTATACCGCTATCCGTTTTACACTATGCGCTATCTATAGTAAGAGGTTGCCGCCGCCGTTAGTGCCGCTAAGCAGTAATAATAGTAAAGAAGTTAGTTATAGTAGTAGTAGTAGTAACAACGGCGAAGGTGCTACTAGCGGGGTTAGTTAGCAAGAACAGCAAGAACAACGCCCTCCTTCTCGAGGCTACGAATTTAGCAATAACGACTATTATAGCGACTAGAGCGAGTCCGAGCCGGACGAGTATTAAGCAGGTTCATTTACCCTTATCGAGAACCCCGAAAACTAGGTATTTAACAATATAGAAGGCGCTAAAGAATATATAACAACCTTCGAGGTTAAGAAGGGCTTTTCTACGAAGCGGACTAGTTACAAGACGCTTAATAATATACGGTATTTATACTAACGTCGCTATTCTAGATACTCGATACCTATATAGCGGAAGCACCTATAGAAGAAACGAGAAGAGCGACGGCTTCTTAATCTATTAGCAAAGACACGAGAAGGTTACTTAAACCTATACGATTGCCCTTAGTCCGTTACGATTATAGCCGAGGAACGAGACAACCCGGACTCCTATAACTGGACTGTTATATATAATAGAAGCAACTATAACTATCTAGCGGTTAGGCTAATAGCACTATCGACTCTTCGCCGTAGAGCGCGTACTACTAAGATTGTAGAGGCGATATTACAACTGCGGTCTACTAGCATCTCTAATCGATAGATTAAGGCGACTATTAAGGCCCGTTTCTAGGGCACCGGAAATGCAACTAGAGGTACGAGGTCGCTCGTCGTTCTAGCGACTTCTCGTAACATCTTAAATGCCTAGCAAAAGGCTAAGAAACTGCGACTTGAAGGCAAAAGCGTAGTAGACAAGACGATTAAAGACCTCCTCGGTTAATCCTACTTCGTATAGAAGGACCTTACAACGGGCCCTTTTAGTAAATAGCGCCTTAAGTAGCTATTCTTTGCATACCCTGCTATAATTCAGGTCTATAAGGACTGTCCGGATGTTATTATTATAGACTGCACCTATAAGACTAACGAGTATAGTATACTACTACTTGTAATCGCTATACTTAATTAGTTTAACTAGACCTTCCCTTTAGCCTTTATGTTTATGCCTAAACAAGATACAGATTAGTATAAGATAGCCGTTAAGTGCCTGCAATCTATGCTTAACGACTACGGCTATAAGGAACTAAGGCTTCTTATTTACGACAAGGACTAGGCTCTTATAAAGGCATTGTTAAAGAAGTAGCTAGCAATGCCGACTCAACTATACCGCTAGCATATTAGACGTGCAGTTAAGGCTAATGCTAGGTCTTACCTTAGCTCTAGTAAGCCTAATCTAGTCACTCGAAGACGACCGTTAAGCGTTGCTATATAAGACTTCGTAGACCTATTCGATAAGGCTATCAATTCGAGTACCTACGAGTCCTTTCTATACTACTATAAGGCACTAAAGGACGGCAAGGTTACGGGTGAACTAGAGCGCGACTATTTATACGATAAAGGGTAGCAAGCTCTCGTTCAATACGTGTCTAGCACCTAGTAGCCTTATAAGGATAAGTGCGTTAAATACTAGGTCGATAGAACTCGGCACTTTAGTAATACTATAACCTCCCCTATAGAAGGTTGCTATACTAGCATTAAGGCATAGTTAACTACCTATAGAAACGACGTCTATAGCTTTATTAACCGTATAATACTATATTTCTAGCATTAGGTAGATAGGTACTACGAGAAGATTAGACAAGAGATAGCTATACCCGTAACGGTGTTCCTTAACGACCCCTTCTACGCTAACGTTATTAGCTATATTAGCACCTTCGCTCTACGGAAGGTAGTAGAGCGAAGGGCCCTTACTAAGGCCGAGATTAAGAAGCGGAAGAGCGAGGATTATATTCCTATCGACTACACCCTCTACTTCCGTAGAGTCTTCGGCATTAACTATCTATACCGCTTATTGCCTCTTATCGAGTTACTAGCTAGCATTCTATAGGTTGTTATGTTTAATAAGCACTAGCGGGTACTAAGAAGTAATTATAATAGCAATAAGATAACGACTTACCGCACCTTAGAGCTACTTAAGCGGATTAACAAGCGGCTTACGCGTACGACTCGGCGTAAGGCTACTAGACCTAAGCTTATTAAACAAGCCGCTAAAGAAGCTATTAACTAGCAAGAAGCGATAAGATAGGCTAAGCCTAGAAGGCCTATTCTACCGCTAGTACTACTACGAGAACGTTTACGCAAGGGTTGTATATACAAAACGGCCTATAGGAGGTGTAAGTGCGTTAAGGATAACGTAGACTACTATTCGAGCTGTTATAAGCATAGGCAATGCGATAGAAACCCTATATCTACTTATTTACCTACTTAGGAAGGACCTCCGCCCTCTCTAAGAACTCCGCTAGTACCTATAGCGCTAGTAGTAATGCTAGCCTATACCGAGATTGTATAGTAGGAGCTATACGTTAATGCGAGGGTCGTAGAACCCTATTTGCTAGGTAGGCAGTATGCCTAGGGCAGTTAGGATTAGCTATATTGTCTAATTCTATATCTATTATTTACCTAATTCCTCTTTCCTACGTTATAATTCTACTTAGCAGCTAACAAGAGCGTTAAAGGTCTTCATTGCGATATTCTACAGTGTAGATTACTAATAATATAGTCTCACCGAGACCGGAGCCGGCTCTAGGTCCGGCGATCTACGAATAGTAGGATGCGATCTACGAATAGTCATGCCCCTCATGCCCGCCGCGCTGTTAAACATTTCGTTCTTGTACGATTTGGTCGAGACAGTGCTCTGTCACATCTACCTCTTCTGGCATTGCTAGGATGAATGTCAGGGGTGAAGCATCGAAGTGAGGTGCTCGATCTTGCAGGTCAGGCACCTCGTGCGTAGGCGTGAAACGCACGAGAAGACGGAGTAGCCGCCAGGGCAGCCAGGGCAGCGCGTGCAAAGTCTCCACAAGCCTGTCACGTCACATGGAGCTCGAGCTGCAGTCGTGCATTTTCGCAGCAAGGCGAGTTTGTGATGTGTGAGCAGGCGCGGCGCGCTTCTCTGGTGCGTACAGTAATTATCACTGAAGTTTTGGCCGACCGCTTTGCCAATAATGACGATGCCGTAAACAATGAATGCTGCGACGATCATTTGCAGGCACCGGGCCCCCGAGCCGGCTCTCTGTTAGCGGCCGTGGAAAAGGCGGCTGTCTGCCGGTGCCAGATGCGAGTGTTGATTCGCCTCCGGTCGGCAACGGCCATGCAGCGGAGCTCTGCTGCCGGAGAGGTCCAGGATGTGCCCAGGCTTACATGTCGCCTGCAGCATGTGGAACAGCGGAACAGCGTCACAGAAGCCGGCCCCTGACGAAATGGGGTGGGCTGGCGAGGCACTCCATTCACAAGGGACGAGAGCGGCGCCAGAGGGCGACGAGAAGTGGCAAACGCATCTCGCAGAGGAGAAGGTCGGAGCAGGATGGGCACACCGGGCAGCAGGTATTATTGTGGTGATGGGTAGGCTAGGCATGAATAAACGCGAGTCCTATAGAGTTAGAGGCCTGTCGTGGGAGAAAGGCAGAGCGCGATAAGATTGCGCTGGCGGAAAGTGTAATGGCGGTACCTTGCATGTGCTCGCTACAACGAGGCACAACCCCTGGAATTTGTGGGTCGTCTTGTCCTTTAGGTGAAACACAATTGCGCAGTGCCAGGGCGACGACGGGCGCTCTTAGGCTGGCGTGTGGGTTACAGTAGTTACAGGCGCCGACCGAACAAATGTGAGCGCTGCACAGAATTTCTCTCCTCCACCCTCTTAATTCATGTATAATCGCAACGCCGCCACCGCTGTACCACGTAGAATACCCACGACGAGCTGCGCGGATTGACGTAACGCGAAAGAGTCGCGTACGGTTGGAAATTGGACAGGGAAGCACGACCGGAGTCTGGATTCTACCACGAGAAAGGTTGGTAGAGCCGTCGCCCGCGGCCTAACGTTAGTCCTCATCACCAAAGACGGGCACCACTGCTTGGACTGGACGTTTGGCAACGGCAGCGGCAGCGGCAGACCGGCCACTGCACACGCGCACTGCGCAGCGCGTCTGTCCCAAGGAAAGCACTCGCTCGCCCACACGCCCTCTCCATCGCCGTCGCCATCGCCATCGCCGTCGCCGTCGCCATCATTGACCATCCACTCGACACGAAGCGACGAAGCTCGAAGCTTGCAGGAAGTGCACTGAATTCCCCGGGCCTCGCGCTGCATCGTTTCGCGCTGTTTGTGTTCGCATTCCTACGCCCACGCCCACGCCCACGCCTCCGCCTCCGCCCCAAGCGAAGCGAAGCCAATCGCTGCATCTGAAGGGCACCTGCAGCTCGCGCACCATCAACACTGCAGCTGCTGCAGCCTGCACCAACCAGAGCCTCGCCGTCGCCCTCGAGTACCACCGGAACCACGATCCCTCGTACCGCAGCCTGTTGGCAATGCTCCAGCGCAGAACATTTGGAAGACGGCGACACTACGCATACGAGGAATTCCGACACACGCCCATCCTCCGCCCTGCATCGTGGGAGCAAGAGCCGGCCTGCTCACCTGTTCGGAACAGCTTTTGCTCCCTCTGAACAAGTCGCAGCCCCAGCGCTCGCTGCAAACCACTGCAGCAAGTGAGGTTCGCTGCGTGCGCGCGAGGTCGCACCTGCGAATCCGCCATCTTAAGACCCACGACCTCGACCTCGAACCCACCTCCACCCACAACCCACACTCGTTTTGTACGTAATAATCTCTCATCCCCAGCACATTGCAGCTGCATCTCATCGTGCATGATGCCACCCTTGCACTTGTCACCATCAACCTGTACTGACCCTTTCAGCCTCGCCATGAACAAATTCCTAAAGAAGAGGCCCGACGGCCAAAACGCCAGCGATGAGGCCCTCCCTTCACCCGCACAACCACTGTCACCGGCCCTCAAAAAGGCATCAACCAGCAGATGGAAGAAATCCAAGAAGGCGCCTGAGGTGCGCCCGCAGCTGGATCTCTCCGCTGCTCTGCCATCGACCGACGACTTCAGAACCAGTCTGATCATGCCCAGTCTGTCAACACGATTCAGCATGCTCAGGGAGCAGGACGACCCGAAATCGCTACTTGGAAAGGCCTCGGACGACAGCGTGTTACAACCTAGGAGGAAGTCACGTTTGGCAGACTTTGGCTTCCCATCGTCAGGACTCGCCGACATCGCCGAAATTTCATCACTTCATGCCTCATTGCGCCCGCCCTTGACCCACGAACATCGAGAACACTCATATCTATCGGAAGACGGCTACGGAAGTGATGCCGAAGCGCTCGGTGGCGGCATCATGAGTCGATCTCGGCCGGGCGAGGGCAACGTACTTTTCGGCGGCCGTCAGAAGATCTACAAAATTCCGACCAGCGGCGCGGCCTCCACCAAGAGTCTGGGAAAGCTTGTCTATGATGATGATATCGGATATTCGGCTTTCCAAAAGTACAGGCAGAAAGAGCGAGAGGAGGACGAGAGTCATTTCGCACGACCTTCCAACGACAGCCAAGGCTTCGACTTTGGCCTTGACAAGGGCGAGCCTGACGACCAGGATGATGATGGACAGCGCTCCCTGCTGAACGATTCCGCAAAGGATCTGTCGCATTCGCCGTCATTATCGTCGTTTGACAGGAAGCGCTCCACAACATCCTCAGACGCACACTCCATTGCGCGTTCGTCCACTGCAGCAACATCGATCACATCACAGCCCGCACTATCAAGTGCAGCGCCCTCACCTGCCTATGCCCCCGCGACTGTCATGACCCCGGCTCCCGCGGCCTCATCCGTGATGGACAGGTCGAATATGAAGGCCCGGAGGCTGTACGAGCAGGGTCTCGATCAGCACATACAAGAGCAGCAATCCTCAGCCATCACTCGACTAAACTCCATCCAACGCCAGCATGCCATGTCAGGGAAAAAGACTCCACCGTTTTTGCAGAGCACTAAGAGTGCTGGTAATCTCCAGGATCGCGTTCATCAGCCGGTTTACGCTTTGCGTGGCCAATCACCGCCGCTCTCGTCGCCTCTCCCGCCGCAATTGAACTCAGCTGGCCCTGTCAGGCATGCGAACTCTGCTTCCCCCAGCCCGGTCCCTAGCGGACCGCAATCACCAATCGAGAGTCAATATGACGAATCTAATGTATTGGCACAGGCATTGGAGCCCGGCGACCGAGGCAAAGCAACAGCCATGGGCGCATTCAATAGCCCGCCCATGCCTTTGATGAGCAGCAGTACTTGGAACGACAAAAGCAACTCCAGCGTTCGGCACCGAATGCAGCAGTCAAGAACAAAGTACCACACACCCAACAGTCGGCGTTTCAACAGCGTCCCAATCGGTACGAAGATGACCAGAGCGAGTATCAGCCCAACACATCTCCTGATCTCTCCGCTCGTGCGACATCCCACGCTGAGTCTATGCACGAGCCTAGTAAGGCATATACGGTATTTCAGAATGCTGTGAATCAATTCCCGGTCAAATCACCGCCATCTTCAATAAACAAATCGACGCTTCCAGATACTCATCGGACTTTTTTCGGCAACATCAGCGCCAGCGAAGATGAGGATGAAGAGGAAGTCAGCGAAATCGCCAAGTCCTTCAATCAGCCTGAGTATGGATACGGTGGCTATCAATCGAAATGGCAGCCGACGCCTCTGCCTTCAGTGTCTGAGCACCCGGCTTTAAGAGAGGAGAAATCGAGCCTTGCCGAAGACCTTGAAGATGAAGGGCAGTCAAAGTCACACCTGAGGCAAAAGGCGTCCGCTCGCTCATTGCGACACGTGGATGCTAAAGCTGGAGCCCTTGTGCCCAGAGAACTTGATTCTCCAACCCTAGGACCCCAATCGCAAGCTTTGAATGGAATGGTCCACCATCTCAGGCAGAAGAGCAACAACTCCTCGATATATCCCGTTGAGAGCGGAATCGGCGCTCAGCAGGAAGAAGCGGTTAATGCTCCATGGAATTCCGGATCTGCGCTGGATACGCAGCACGCTTCAATGCGAAGCTCACACTGCACTGCTTCCACACACTACACCGCTTCCAATCCGTGGGATATGGACGAATCCAACAGTGGTGCATCCAGTGCAGTTGATCGACCAGAGAGTCGATCAGAAATCTCGGGGTTTCAGGAAGGGGCCGCCAGCGACCGAGTGTCCGAGGTTCCTTCTGTGCAAAGTAGTGTCCCATCTTGGCAGCGCGAGCTTCAAAAGCAGCATCACACTCGAGATCCGAGCAACGCAACTCTGCAAGACCGCGAGGCTTTCTCCCGAGACTTGGCTGCGAGGCGAGACGCCATTCGAGAAAATCTGAAGAGCTACGTGGAAACGAACAATCCGAGGGCAGCCAGCCCAGTTCCGGGCGCAGCAGGTCCTCTTAGGGCTTTTGGTATCATGCGTGCGAAGTCTAGTGGAGAATCGCTCGGCACCATGCGCGATCAGCACTCGAAAGGTTCCAAAGGCTTAGGCGCCAACTCCAATGCCAGTGTCACCAGCTTGACTAAAGACGAGAGATCTGGATTCAGTCTGGATCTGGCGCGGCCACGCGGCAACTCTTCTCCTCGCTCGGCAATGCCACCGCCAGTCTCCCAGCACCCAGCCTTCAAGAACGAGATTGGAGAGTCGGCGCGCGACACTGAAATCGGTGAGCTGCCAAAGGAGCGCCAATTGGCGTCGAGCCGATCACCGGCATTAACAGCTGCCCGCAACAGGAGTCGTTCCAACTCCACAACAACTACAGACCGATCTCGAAGTCGCACTTCGCCATACCGGGATGACTTGGAAAAGGCAATGATTGAGGGTCATGGATCTTCCGCGACGGCACACGAGCCTTCCCCAGAAGCTTCGCCGGCCATGTTGCCTTCCGACCGCGACAGCAACGGTAGCCGAACCAATATGCAACCATATTTCGACCAGAAGATGGGTCTTGCTGCTCAGAACATGAGCCGCCTTGCGCTGAATGGACCGCAGGCTGTTCCTCTGCAGCCAAATGTATACACTCCTGGTCGTCCAGCTCCCGTGGCAAATGCATACACCTCCAATCCAACACCTCCTCTTTCGACGTCTAGCAACGGAACTCCTGCTCCAGCCAGCCCAGCCACCTTCTCACCAGAGGAGTACTCTCCCATCATTCCTTCTTCCTCTCGACCCAGTGTTACACTGCGTAGGAAGACGGTTTCGAAATCTGAAATCTCCGAGCCTATCCTGATCTCGTCGACTTCGAACGTAGACACGGTGGACTTGCCTCCCGGCGCTTCCCTGAAGAATGGCATAGATCAACCGCCGCCAATTCCTCCCATCAACCCGAGACGTCGGGGCACTCGGAAGCTCTTCGGCCTGGTCACCTCGAAAGACGCAAGCGATAAGGAAACTGAGCTTCCAATGCTCACACAGTCTGACCCGAATCTACTCCATGAGACGTCGTCGCCGTGCTCCGACCGAGGACTCTTTCCGCCCAGCAATGTAGTGCGAATCCCTGCACGGCAGGAGTCGCCAGCTCTTGAACAGTATGGCTTCAACCGAGCCGAATCTCCAGAAAGACGTGGACCGACGCGCGCCGTCACGGCCCCGATGGGTGCTGGTGAAGTCGGCATGTTCTGATACGACCCATAATGAAACCTCCAAAAACAGCAAGCTTCGATCAGCGATCAGCGACAAACAAGAAATTCTAGAATAATCGCGCTCGAGCGCGAGACACGCAGCGACTGTTTCATTCTATTCGATTTCATGTACAATACTTGGTGCGGACGGACGACTGCTTTGATTTTATTTTCACGGAAGAAGATGGCGCTGCTTGATGGAAAATGGAAGAAGTGTTCGGCAAAAGGCAAGGCGGGGCGGGGCACCCAGAACTCTGGACACACTTATTACCATTGCTCGTTCAGCCAGCTGGCTGTAGCAGTACGATTGTGTTCTTCTTTTTCAAAACTCTCACGAAGAATATGGGATTCGGCTGGCACACAGGCGCTCTGAGAACAGGACGGCTGTAACAAGAACTGTTTTGTCTCCTTTCTCTCCTGCAGAATATGCGAACGGATGGTGTTTTCTGTGTGGTTTGGAAGAAGAGAGACAAAAAGATGGCTACGGCTATAGCAATGGCATTTGATCGATTTAGCGTCCGCACGATACCACCAGACAGCGCCGGCTTTTTTCTTCTTTTTTTCTTTAGTTTTCTGATACTACGGTTAGTTAGCTTAGTGTGTAAGAAATGAATTGAATTGAATAAGAAAGAGAGAAGCTATAAAAGTATATACGAAGTTATTTATTCTACTAAGAAATTATCTAAGAAGTTTATAAGCCTTATCTCTAAAAGATCCCGGCCTTATACGATACGATTACGATAATTCGGTAGTTCTTATTCCTAACTTATCTTTATAGTAAGGATTCTATATATATATATCTGCTTATATACTTATCTAGTTTTCTACTAGTAATAGTATTAGATAGATAACTATTCTTCGTAATAGCGCTTTGTTTTTAGAGCTTTCTATTTGCATTAATGCTACCTACGGCTAATTCTTAGGGCCTACTACTTTTAGTAACGGGGTATAAAGTTCTTTTTCTATAATTTTCTAAATTTAGATTTTTAGATAGGTAGTAAGTATAGTTTAGTTATATTATATAGTCGGAGATAGTAAGGTCGGGGCTGCTACTATGTTTTTGTACTATAGTAGTCTAGTAATTCTTGTTTCTTTAGTAAGTATAGGGTCTCTTTCCTACCTACTCGTTAGAGGCAGATCTCGCGCAAGTCCGTCCGCAAACCCGTTAACACGATTAGCAGACCTTGGCAGGCTCTATGAATGTATAGGACACCTTGTACGTGAGACGTCTAGGAAAGAGAAAAGATAATGTAAAGTGTGTATGCAAATCTCGTCATCTCCTAGAAGAAGAAGAAGAAGAAGAAGAAGAAATCCAAGCTTCAGGTCTCAATTCCGTATCTAGTTCCAACACCGTCCTGTCTCCTCTCCTCTCCTTTAACCTCTTCTCCGTTTTCATAAACTCTCGTATTCCAATCGGTATCCCTTCCAACCCTTCATCTTCCTCCACCTCCCCCTCCCCCCCTTCCTGTCTCCTCTTCGCCTCCCTCATCCTCATCCTATACTCCTCCACTTCCTCCCGAAACCTTTCCCACACGCAATTCACGCACCCGGACATGCAGCAGTTGTCTGGTTCGGAGGGTTTGGGCGGGACCAGAATTCCGGAGATCAGTTGCGAGCGGGATTCACGTTGGTGTTTTCTTTCGGCGGCTTCGGCGGCGCGGTCGCCGAAGACTAGGCGGGCGCGGGCGAGGGTTTGGGAGCGGGAGCTTGGAGGTGCTTTGGTGTCGGGAGGGCGGGAGTTGGGTTTGGTAAGAGGTGCGTTGAGGGGGTCGGCGGGGTAGCCTTGGATTTGTTCGGGGTGGGTGGTGGTGTTGTTATTGCGGTTTGGAGAAGTGCTGAGGTGTCGGGTTTGAGGATGTGATGGGGTTTTGTGGAGGTGGTGTGGTTGGGGTGTTGTTCTCTTGTTAGGGATGCTGCGGAGGGCTGTCCGCATTGTTGTGTGAGGAGGGGAGTTGGAGCAAGGGTAGATTGTTGTTGTATTGCATGTGAGCGTGTTGATATTCTAGGTGACGTAGGCGGCTGTTTGACATGGATGGTGAGATAATAAGCATAATTTGCGCCGAACCCTTTCTACTACTACTACTACTTCTTCTTCTTCTTCATATTTTCATGTCTTGAGTTGTCCAAGGCAGGCATTACTTCTCATCATATCGGGCGGCATTGCGGCCACTGTCTATGTGTGAGGTAGGTTGTCGACTTTCACGCGGCACCGAACACCTGGCAACCGCCAGCAGCGATGATCACTGCTGTCTTGATCGAAATGCAACTTTGAATATATCTATTTTTCAAGAATTGGTGGCTCCTTCGGCCATTGTAAACATCTTCATGACTTTGGTCAAGGCACAAATTTTGAGTTGCTGCTAGGACCCATGAGAGGCCAGACATAGCGGAAAGCATTGATGGACCATGGATCCCATCAGGAACGATCGGGAGGTGGGGTTGGGCGAGTGCATACAAGACTAAGTTCAAAAAGCTTCTTCGCTCTCTGATGGCTTCCACCACGACGACTTCTACTGACAGACCAGAATCCTTGACATCCCCCATGCCTCGATAACGCAACAGCGGCCAAGAGGCACTCGCCGCAATGGATACACACAACGGCGCCAGGGCTTTCCGCAGAAGCCTCCACAACGTGTTGAGTTGGGCGAGACCTAGAAATCTTCTCAGTACAGCTACCGATCTTTTTCGAATCGATGATCAGCAGACGAAATCACGACGCGCGAGCGACACGGCATGGCTGGATGGGCTCCGAGGTGTTGCTGCGTTGCTCGTGGTGATACAACATATTCATCCGGCAGTATGGTGGTTAGCCATGTGTGACGATGTGTCTGATGATTCCACTGCCATCGGTCCGGGAACCTGGTCTGTCCTTCGACTGCTCTTTACTGGCGGCTCACTTGCTGTGGAGCTGTTCTTCGTCATATCAGGTATTTGATCTTGCCTTCGCTGGCGGAGGAAATGCGAAGTCCTGATGCATCTAGGCTTCGTTGTCCCACGACGATTGGTATCTTTAATACAAGAAGGGCGACAAGACGATTTTGTAGAAGCTTTGAATTCGGCTGTAATTCGCAGGCCTTGTCGTTTGCTGATTCGGGCAATGCTGAGCACGCTCTTGCTTTTGACCTTCTTTCATATGACCGGCATGGATCCGAATTGGTGCGTTCATGCTATCTCGCCTGCAAAATTAGACGCGAATACTAAACGTGCTGGCAGGAATGGAGCAGCTAGCAATATTTTCAGCGAGCTCTGGCTTTGGGTCCTGGATTGTCTTCAACTTATGGACTTTTATACTGTCTACGCGTCCAGGTATTTGCTGATCACATGGACGATCGTTGTGGAGTGGAGAGGTAGTATGGCTGTCTTCGTCTGGCTCTTCGCCATTCACCAGCTGCGAACTCAATGGCGAGTCCTGCTAACGTTAGGGTTGGTACTATATCTCGTCGTGTGCACGATAAGTCAGTACATTTTACTGCTGCTCACCATCGGCTGCGCTCGCTGACATTCTCGAACAGGTACGCAGTACGCCGCCGTCTTTGCTGGAATGCTTACATGTGAGCTGGATCTGATTTCCACTTGACGCGAGAAAGGCCAGATCCGATTGCCGTGGTCTAAAGTCTCAGAGTACCTGGCCCAGAGAAGGTTCTTGCGCGGTCTTGTGATGCACTCAGTCCCAGCTCTTGGCCTCATCTTTGGCAGTACGCCAATGCTGAAGTCAGATCTAGCGACCACAGAACACGCGATCCAAGTCTGCGCTAAATGGCCTGCCTTCTTGTACAACATCATTCCGGGTCAATATTGGGCTGAATGGCCTGGCATCCAGTATCGCGACTTTTGTTAAGACCTTTGCGCTTGACCTAGGTAAGCACGAGGCTATTCTCGAAGCTAACTTCGTGATGCACAGCTACTTCTGGGGTGCATGGCTCACCATACTCGGCATCAAGGAGATCAGATGGGCAAAAGCAATCTTCGAGACGAGGATCGCGCAATGTGAGTTTCGATGATATCCTCCATATTCGATGCTTTCAACACTGACAGTTCTCATTAGATCTCGGCCGACACTCCTTCGCACTGTACGTCACTCACACACTCGTTGCGAGCACTCTGACGCGGATCCTTCTAATTCTCACCAACCACGGTTTCATGCAAGGCGAAGATGCAGGCTGGCCGTTCAACGCTGTCCCCTTGGGCGCATGGAGTAAATATCTCTCCCTGGATATGGGACCGAAGGGTTATGAACCGGCAGTTCTGTTCGTTTTGGCGGCGAGTCTTGCTGTCATGCTCCCGCTTGCACAGATGGGAACCATAATCTTCGATCAGCCTTCTGTGAAGATGTCGAATTGGATGTGGGCTAAGTTGAAGCAGTTCAGATAGAAGAGATCAAGGCATTACTTGAAAAATGCTGATCATGGTGGACATGGTGGCGCATGGCGTTTCTCTTACAAATATTGCCAGCGCTCCTGCCAAGAGGCATGCTTACTTCTTACCGTTACACAGCAGGTGCTCAGCTCTGAACCCGACGTCCTTCGCCTTGGAATATATGATGACGTCCACCTCAGGGACATTTCCAGTAGCCAGTCCTGCGATTTCGACACGATGCTGCTATCACAACTGCCCGTCGGTCTGCTTGTGGCAGCAACCGCTGCATCGCCTCCGCCTCACCACTCCTTGAGCAGTCAAGTTCAACAATGCTGCCGACAGCTCTCCAGTACCTTCCCAAACCAAGTCATTTCGCCCAACAATGCTTCGAGTTACATTCACTACACCAATCGATGGACCGAGAATGCTCGATTGGAACCCACTTGCATATTCCTGCCGAACGACGCAAGAGACATCGCCACCGCGATCAAAATCTTCCATCCACATAACAACGGAAGAGGAATTTGTCCTTTCGCCGTCAAGTCTGGCGGACACATGCCTCACCCCGGAGCCAACAGCATCGAAAACGGCATCGTCATTGACCTCAGCTCAATCAACGAAGTCACAATAGCGAAAGACAGAAGCTATGTGACTCTCGGATCTGGGAACACCTGGGGAAAAGTCTACGATACCCTGGCTGGAACGAATCTAGCAGTGCCAGGTGGTCGATGTGCAGGTAAGAAATTCTATCACATATTTAGTCTCTCTCACACACATCCATGACTAAACTCCTAGG